TTTAACAAATAATAAAAATATTGTAAGTTTGTCATCCAATACTCCACTTTTAAATTATGGAGTTTCAAATTTATTAGGCTTGACTTATATATATTAAGTCATAAAACGTATATTTTATTCAACATTTGGTTCTTAATTAAGAATTGAATTGCAAACAAATAAGCGTTTCTTATTCTATATAAGTGATGAAAATGTTCTTAAATTCTAATCTATGTTCTGCTCTTAATTAAAAATAACAATTTTGTAAATTAAGGCACAATATTAAAGTTTTTAATAATACTGACAGCGACAATTACAACGAAAGATTTTAAAAAGTATTTGTCCGTAAGCTTTTCGGTATTTCATGTGTCTCATTCCGTAAATGAAAGCGTTCACAATCGAATTTATGCCATAGGAATCATATTGAACGACCACGTACCAAATCATTTGACATGAGCCACTACAAAAGTTATTCAACACTGCCCCGATTATAGTTGGTAAATAGCAACAGACCGCCAAGATTATTATTACAATGGAAAATGTTTTAACCTCTTTTAAAGCGTGAAATAAACGAAATACAACCCTCATATTGACTGACTGTTCATTGTCGTTGTAGATTCCTGCGACCATAGATTTATCGCAGATTTTTTTACGTTGTTTCCGAGACACATTTAAAATTCGGAAATTCAGAAGAAATATTGAAATGAGTGGTATATGGAGAAAGAGGACTTCTATAGAATAATGAACACGGTTGGGTATGGAACAAAGACTTCTGATTCTGTTGTCAAATCTTTTGTAGTGGACATGAAATATAGTGTAAAGACAACAAGTGGTTAGCCAAATGCCAGAGATTGCCAGGAAGACTCGTCGACGTGTTACAATCAGAGGATATTTCAGAGGTTTTACGATAAATAGATAACGATCAACAGTAATTGCGAGGAGTGTCGCCACTGAGGTAACAAGCAAAGACCAGATCGTAGAACGACTCAACTTACAAAACAATTCTTGATCGCTCTCAATGTTTAAAAATGTCTGAATGAACTCAATGATCCATAGTGGATAAAATGTTAAACACACGAGAAGATCTGTGAATGCCAAGTTTGCTATCAAGTAAGATGTCGCTGTCTTTTCTTTACTCAACAAAACTGTGTAGATTATAACTGTAACATTTCCCAATACTCCAGTAACCAGCGCGAAGAACTTAAATACAATTAAAGATAAAAACACATCAGAAGGAATCGCGTCTGTGATGAGGTATGTTATGTTATTTGCCATTACTCTCCCTTTCAGGTTCACGATAAATTAAAAAACTTTGAGCTACGAATTCATCTATTGTGAAATATGATTGACATACGATATTTACATAACGGAAGTAAAACCTAAAAATAATTAAAACACATTAAAATTAAACTAACAGCCTGCATGTACATGTAGATATGTCCACCGCGATAATTACTCCGGCGTCAGCGACGGAGTTGAAAATTCGCCCCGGTTTTGTTTTGTTGTTGTTATTTTTTTATTTTTTTTATTTTTCGTCGTCGCAAGTCTGAATGGCGCGAAACATTGTAGTATTTAAAATGTGTATGTAACCGTATTTATCTACGTCCCAGTCTTATCTACCAAGAGTTGTGGTGCACAGCTTTGGCTAATTTTCCGATGCGCGATTTGATTTCGCTCGCATGATACGGCAATTCCTCCAAGAGCAACAAATAAACCGTTCTTTTCATGCTTTTCGACTAAGTTTAGATTGAATTGGGGTAAGAATATATTTAATACATGCAGATTTTGGTCCTATTTTAATAATATCGCTGCTATTTCGCCGTTTAACAAGATGATGTGGTCGTGTATCGGCGCGTTGAACGTCGTAGTTTGCACAGGATTGATATAACTATATAAGCGCGAATTCCAAAGGCAAAGTGTAAGACAAAGCGAATATATCATGCGGTTTATTTACATTTTTGAACAATTGAACTTCTATACTTTTTAAAGTACGATGTCCTTTTGAATTTCGCGATCGAACATTTAGGTTCGCAAGGCATCTAAATGCGAATATGAACTGTATTGTTTATGTTCAGAAGCTCTATATTGAGGACCGGCACGTGCGCCGGAGTTAACGCCAGAACAGGCGTCTTGTTACATGAAAAATGACTCGATAAAGATATGACATAGTGAATACACCTTTTCAAGAATAAGGTCACAACATTATTTTAAATTTAGAGCCACCTTAAATAAAATAATTTATGCTAGAAAGCACAAATCTTATTCCTAAAAATTCAAATTAAATTAAAATTTTTCGCTTGATTTTTGTTTTAATTATGGCCGGGCAAAAGGCATTGGAAATTTTATTAAGAATTTGGTGTATGGAGATTATATTTGCATACTGTTCCATAATATATTATAATATAACATTTATAGTACACGCGTGCTGATTGGTCAAGAAGCGTGATTCTATGACTGTATAGAAACAAGGGAATTTTCCCGCCGAACTTGACAAGCGAAGCGTTGTAGTGAGAATATGTAATCCAATCGAAATATAATATTTGTACAAAATCTTTTAATTGAGTTACATTATTATAATATTATGAGTTATTGGGAGAACTCGAAATAACGTGGAAAAACTCGTTTCGCCACTGATTATTTCGCGTTCTCCCAGAATCCCACGCTTGCCCCAGTAACTGTATAGAAACACGAAAAATGTCTTCTATTTCTTAATTAGTCCATAGTGTGGAAATGGTAATTAGTACAAATATTATAGATTCCATACTATTTCCAACTGAAATCCATACTATGTCCATAATATGGATTTTGAAAAAAAATCTCCATTGGGAACCGTTATACGCTCCAGTTTCTTACAAATGAAATGAATATATGATGAAAAACTCACTAGATTGAAAAATTCTGCCCTCTGTAAAACCACAGCTACAGGCCAATGGTGTGAGAATTGTTTTCTGCTTTATAGAAACTTTATTTGCATGTTCTTCTGTTTTCAATCATTCGTCAGTGTTACGACACTTTTTTTGTTCGCCGGAAAACAAACATTCGTCAATCCTTTTATGACAAAAATCATGTAATTGTTGCAAAGCTATAGGCCATAGTTTTAAAAAACCTAGATATTTTTGACAGGAGTTTTTGACTGGTATATTGCCAAGAATTCCCAAAGAAATGGCTATTAACAGAACAGCTCCTTGCAATTGTGGATTAACTGCCATTTTGTCGAAAGATCTTCCTCCAGACTATTAATGTAAAGTACTTTGAGGTTGATATCGTGGCCGTTTTGCACTGATATCAAGCTTCTTTTATATTCAAGTTATTTCCGTCCTCCCTGTAAGATTAAAATATCGCGATAAACTACAATCTTTAGGAAAAAATTCACAGTATATCATTTATATATCTTTTATTATTACTTTCGCCCTTTAAAGATTGCAAAGAGTTCTTAATATAGAATAACTTGCCGTTTCATTTTATCTTGCCAAAGATGTCGTTTTTAAATGCTTCGTGCTTTCTATATTTTGCCTTTGCTGTTTATCTGTGCTATATATTTGTCAGTCAGCAATTAAACTTAATGGCTTCCAGCGACAATAATTTTTAAATTATCTTATTCATATTTTTCCAACCCGAGCTGATTTTAGATGAAATTGAAAATGAAAGTAAAATTAGGCCCAAATTCTAATTTCTACTTCATTCGTAGGTCTTTTGACACTTTTTTTGTTAACCGGAAAACAAACCTTCGTCAATCCTTTCATGAAGACAAAAATCATGTAATTCTTGCAAAGCTATAGGCTATAGTTTTTAAAAAATCGTAAATATTTTGACAGCTGTTTACATAGGGACGAGAAAACGGAATTCTGTTGAGGAAATACCATTTATCACTTTACATTTCTTATTTCATCAAAGCACAAATTGCTTGTCACTGCACACTAAAATTATGTATGCATCATCTTGTTGTTAATTACGCTGTGTTTGCGCAGACAAAATAGCCTATGTTCTGTTACATTCTGCATTGGGCAAACGTCTATAGGAATAACTAAAAACAGAGGCGCAGTTAACTCGACAGAATGGCTATTTTTTATTATTTCTAGGGAAAATTAATTACATGCAGAAGATTAATATACTACAATACGGACTACGATCATTCAATATGTAAGAAAAAAACTGTCTTGGGATTTGAAAGCCTTATTTTTGCTTTAGAAGGCTACAATTCCATTGTAATATTTCGTATCTATTTTAAAGTCTTCGTTACACCAGGAAGCTAAGCTTCGTAAAATCACGAATGAACAGGAAGAGTTATTCGCAATTGATAAAAATAAAGGAATTAATTAAATCACTAAATAAATTGAGAAATGAGAGCTAGTTCTTGACACTCTTTCAGCGGCCATTTTTGAACCAATATTTTATATATTTGGTGTATATGACATCAAAGAAGAACAGAAGCTCTAGGTTAAAGGGATACAGCAATAAAAATTATCTTCGTCTATTTTAAAATAACATCATGAATATTTATAAAATTCGTTTACGGATTTTGGTTAACTTTATTACTTCTGAAAATATTTTCGAATGAGATTATCTTCCATCTGCCATTTTGGATGTGCATATTCTTGGTCGGATATATATGCATGACGTCATACTGACCTGGGTGAAAATTCGTTTTGTAACTTCAAGTTATAACGATTCAGCGAAGTGATAGTTTCATGGTACTACAATCGCATGTATCACAAATTATAGAGTTCTAAACTAAAAGGTAAACATGTAGTTGTAATTTCTTAAGCGTTAACCCGGCTTTAACGTCACGTAATTGGATGTTATTATAAAACAAAATGGCGGATACATCTCGAGATCCGATGTTTTTGATCGCTAACATCTTGCGAAGTATAGCAAGACAAAAAAACATTGTAAAAAGGCTTTATACGAAGTGTAAATTTCCTTTTCAAAAAAAAAAAGAAATAATTTTTATTGCCATATCCCTTTAAAATAAATATCGTCTCAATAATAATTATTATAGTCTTAAAAAGTTATATCATACACTAGATGACTGCATGCTCATGTCTTTGTCTACTGTCTAAATTAATATGAGTCTCATAAACCTCTGTTTTTTGTCGCCTTTCGCCCAAGCTTGGCAAGGGGACTTGCATTTTTCGACATTGTTTAAAAAAGGAAAATATTGTTTTATCCAGTGCTCCATAAACGAATGGATTAATAACTGAAGTCCCAAATATATAAATCGTGTAGAACAAGAAAGTATAACTCGGTATCTTTTTTGATGTACTCTTTAAAGCCATCCACATAACCTGCAGTGGAAATCCTGACACAATAAAGGAAACGACAATCACAAAAGAAACAAACACTGGTTTTGTATTCCGGATTTTTGGCCGATGAAGAAATTCAGACGAGTGTCCTTTTGGGACTTGATTGCGAGCATCCATGCTGGAAATTGTTTTATTGCGTGTTAGAATTTTTCGGCCTATCTTATAGTAAATGAAAGATAGGATTGTAACAGGAAGAAAGAATTGAACACACGCGAGAAACCATGCATAAGCAAGTTTGAGTGATTCTGATGGCCATTTCTCATAGCAACCGTCCTCTTCATGAAATGTTAACACCATGGCGAATGGAAGGATGCAAATTATTGCGAACACGTGGACACAAACTGCAGCGAAATTCAAAGTTCTTCGAGTCACAGGAAGTTTGAACGGATGGAGAATTGCTCGGTAACGAAAAGCAGAAATTACAACAAGAAAATTTGCCCCTGCTGTAAACACTGCCGTATGTGCTGGCTTCCAGATCTTGCAAAGAAGATGGGAAGCTGCTGCGATTGAAGGTTTAGCGGTAAACATGGAGTATATATCTGGTGTCACGAACAGTAAAGTACATAGATCGCAAATTGCCAAGTGAAGAAGAAGATAATAATGGTTGTTCTTGAGTAGACTTCGTTTCAGAGATATGGATACTACAACTGGTATATTACCAAGAATTCCCAAAGAAACGGCTACTAACAGAACAGCGCCTTGCAGTTGTGGGTCAAATGCCATTTTGTCGAAAGATCTTCCTCCAGAGAATTAATGTAAAGTACTTGGAGGTTGATATCGTGGCTGTTTTGAACAGATATCAAGCTTCTTTTATATTCAAATTATTCCTGTCTTCGTTGTATAATTAGAATATGGCGATAAAACAATCTTTAAGAACAATTTCACAGTATTGTTTATCATTATTTCAGTCCTTTAAAGATTGCAAAAACTTCTTAATATAGAATAACTTTCCCTTTCGTTTATCTTGCAAATTAAGACGTTGTTTTCAAATGCTTTTTGCTTTCTACATTTTGCATTTGTGTACAGATAGTTGTTAAAAAATGTGCCAGATGAAACTGCATTTCATTTATAATCTGACTGGCTCAGAGATAGTCCCTTTTTTATCTGTTATGTTTATCAGTCAGGCGCGTTTTTTATCTAGTTTAAAATATTGATGTGAAAAACATGCGAAGATCTCATGATGAACTGTAGACTTCCTATCCTAGACTTACTTTGAGATATAATAGAAACAAACGATGAAATAATATACATGGCAAAATTACTCGCATGTGATTTGTCCATCACGAGGCCATATTTTCAAAATTGAGGCTAAATTACAGGTCAAAATTACATAACGCTGCATGATTAGAATAATTTGTATTTGTTGCTTATAGCAACAGCGAGGCGAACGTGACGAAAAGTACTTATAAGAAGCTCCAGTTCATGATAGCTGCTATCGAAGAGACAGAAATATACTTGAAAAAAATAAATTTAATGGGTTCTAGGGAAGATAAATTTTAAATTTATTTTATTCATATTTTTCCAACCCGAGCTGATTTGGCCAGAAATTAAAAATGAAAGTAAAATTAGACCTAAGTTCTACTTCTGTCCTAATAAATGATCACTGGACGTCGTTGCACTTTGTCAACTGCCTCGAACGTTATGAGCGCGCGGCATCTATAATTATGTTTGGTGCTTAGAGTATCATATGCCGCGACGTTCTTAGAGTCATTGAGCTTTCGACAATCTACGCGGTTGTGCGACCGTTACGTGTGGTTCTTTTGCATCATTACTTCGTAGTGGGGTTGTATGTTCCGACAGCAGGGAATGTTTTCTTCAGGGTGATTATTTTATCCAGCTCCCTATTATTTTTATTCGAAATTGCGACTATATTACGCGATTTAAAACAGGTTATTATATTTATTAGACCGATATAAATTGTTTCTATACAAGTAAAAGACTGAAGTTATGGTTCCTCACCAAAATTGTCAATACATTTTTAGTCAGTTTCAATGCTGTTGTTCTATTTCTCCATGTTAACCAACTTATTGAATTTGTATTGAGAGATATTTGACAGCCGTGGCAAGAAAAAGTTTGCATGCATGCATATAAATTGTTTCAGCCTATAATTGTGAAGGCGATGATCGGGTTATCAGTGAATTTCTCCTCCGCGCTAAACTTGTTCTGCGTGCAATATCTCCAATATCTTTCTATCTCTTTCTGGCCGTATGGCGGCCAAATATCCGTCAATTATCGTTCCACTCAAAATAGAATTCCCAAATTCATATAGTTCACATTGAAACAACAGATTATTTGAATGGCCTTGGCTACTTTTTGGGCACCTTTTTATCTAATTTGTGTCAGTTCATGTATTAAGCTTCGCCAGACGCGAGCGATTTTTGTCCGCGATCATTTTTTTCCCTCCTCCTTCTCCCTCTTCCCTCCAATCAATTATGCTATAAAATGTACTAGCAAGGGAAATCGCCGAAAAATATCGCCTATATATAAATACAATGCTATTAAATTAAAAATAACAATGTTGTAAATTAAGGCACAATATCAAAGAACATTTAAATAACACTGACAGGGACAATTACAACGAAATACATCCGTAAGCGTTTCGGTATTTCATGTGTCTCATTTCGTAAATGAAAGCGTTCACAATCATATGCCATAGGAATCATGAAATACAACGCTCATATTGACTGACTGTTCATTGTCGTTGTAGATTCCTGCGACCATAGATTTATCGCAGATTTTTTACGTTGTTTCCGAGACACATTTAAAATTCGGAAATTCAGACGAAATATTGAAATGAGTGGAATATGGAGAAAGAAGACTTCTATAGAATAATGAACGCGGTTGGGTATGGAGCAAAGACTTTTGATTCTATTGTCAAATCTTTTGTACTGGACATGAAATATAGTGTAAAGACAACAAGTGGTTAGCCAAATGCCAGAGATTGCCAGGAAGACTCTTCGACGTGTTACAATCAAAGGATATTTCAGAGGTTTTACGATAAACAGATAACGATCAACAGTAATTGCGAGGAGTGTCGCCACTGAGGCAACCAGCAAAGACCAGATCGTAGAACGACTCAACTTACAAAACAATTCTTGATCGCTATCAATGTTTAACAATATCTGAATGAACTCAATGATCCATAGTGGATAAAATGTTAAACACACGAGAAGATCTGTGAATGCCAAGTTTGCTATCAAGTAAGATGTCGCTGTCTTTTCTTTACTCAACAAAACTGTGTAGATTATAACTGTAACATTTCCCAACACTGCAATAACCAGCGCGAAGAACTTAAATACAATTAAAGATAAAAACACATCAGAAGGAATCACGTCTGTGATGAAGTATGTTATGTTATTTGCCATTACTCTCCCTTTCAGGTTCACGATAAATTATGTTAAACTTTGAGTTACGAATTTATCTATTGTGAAATATGATTGACATACGATATTTACATAACGGAAGTAAAACCTAAAAAAAATTAAAACACATTAAATTAAACAAACAGCCTTCATGTACATGTAAATGTGTCCACCGCGATAATTACATGAAAAATGACTCGAAAAAGATATGACACAGTGATAGACATTTTCGAGAATAAAGTCATAACGTTGCTTAAAATTTAGAGCCCCCTTAAATAAGTGTAATTTATGCTCAAAAGCACTATCTTTATTCTTAAAAATTCAAATTTTTCGCTTCATTTTTTGTTTTAATTATTGCTGGGCAAAAGACACTGGAAATTTTATTAAGAATTTGGCGTATGGAGATTATATATGCATACTGTTCCATAATATATTATATTATAATATAAGATTTATAGTACGCGCGTGCTGATTGGTCAAGAAGGGTGTTTCAATTTAAGAATTAGACAACGAGGATTTGTAATAGACAATAGTCGGGTGTATATTAAAACCGTTTAGTATACACTCGACTATTGTCTATTACAAATCCTACATTCTGATTGGCTACTGAACCATTGTCTATTCGTTATGGTGAACTTAACGTTCACCCTACGGGCCCGTTTCCCTTGTTCCATTATTTCATTTGGCTATAAAATTGAATTAATCCCCGAGCCGGCGCGAAGCGCCGTGCGAGGGTACTAATTCCGCTGGGAGATTTATTACACCCGGGTATTGTGACAGAACATAGCGGAATCCAAAGTTGCTGAAATTCTATGTCGTGGACCGTGGACGTTCAATGGTCATGGTACTTGTGCGCATGCGTGAAATGCGAACGAGTGTGGACTGGTAATCAACGAACGTTCTGATTGGCTAAGACAGAGAGTTTGTAATTCAATGAGAACGTCAGCAATTTAACTGTCATTTCGTAAACATTTTTGTAAAAACGTTTCATAAACTTTGTGCAAAGAAAGTAAAACGAGAAGAAACAAGATATATGAAGCATGACAGATAGCAAAGATGAACGTGAATACAGTCAAAACAAAGCCGTGTAAGAGGAATAATTCATAATCTGCAAGCTTATAAATGTTTTCAAAGACAAAGGGTACGTGTTTACTTTGTTTATCTCGTACTTGTTTCGCGGTAAGAATGAGCCGTATTTGTATACTTTTCAGCTTTGTATGCCGTTCATTTGTTAAATTTTCAGCTTTTTCTGCAAACGCATAAACCTTTGAAGGGCTATTACACCTTTGCTTTAACTTCAAAAAGTGTTTTTGAAAGTGTAATTTGAATTTTGGTATCAAAAATACACACTATATTTATAAAGTATACTGAAACTTTTAGCCGCCGGCGTTGACTGCAATTACAGAATAAAATAACATTTGAAGTTTTTTCTTTGTCTGTGAAGATTTTGTACTGTTTTAATCGTTTGAAACTTCGATTTTAAACTGTTACTTAATTGCTGGCATGGTATAATGCAGCAAAATTGAACGGGCAATGTTTACACTAGCTTTGTGATTATTTTTGTATTGAATGATGGAAACTTTAAGACTGATTTGAGTTTTGTGTCATTTCATAATATAAGTTTAGGTCAGGTTAACTCAAGAAGTTGTGTACTTGGTTTGAAATAGCGAGGGGTTGCTGCATGCATGTATTTCTAGTTAGATTATTTTTTGGTGTAATTGCGGTGTATCGATTATTTTCTCGAAATTATATATCTAGGTACAGGGTGTATACTAGGTACAGGGTGTATACTCGCCTTCGTTGTCTATGAGCGAATAGTCAACTCAGGCTTCGCCTTCGTCGACTATTCGCTCATAGACAACTCGGACTCGTTGTCTAATTGTTGATTAGTATACACAGTAGCGTAGCCAGCCTGCCGATTTGTCCCGCTATGCTAATATTTAGGTGTTCATTGACTGTGAAAACAATAAATTTCTAAAGAAATGAATAATTATAATAACTCGAAATCTACATAGCGGGACAAAATCGTCAGGCTGGCTACGCCACTGAGTATACACCCAACTATTGTTAAATAGAAATTTTTAATTGTTAAATACAAATACAGGAATTTTCCCGCCGAACTTGACAAGCAAAGCGTTGTAATGTGAATATGTAATCCCATGGAATTATAATATTTGTACAAAATCTTTGTATTGAGTTAACTTATTATATTATTATGAGTTATATTTGGGGAACTCAAAAAAAGGTGGAAAAACTCACCCTACGGGCCCGTTTCCCCACTGATTATTTCACGTTCTCCCAAACTCCCAAGCGTGTTTCAAAAAGAAATTAAATGCATACATACTGTATAGAAACACAAAAAATGTTTTCTGTTTCTTTATTAGTCCATGCAAATGTTAAATAGTATGGATATTATAAATTCCATACTATTTCCAACTGGAATCCATACTATGTCCATAATATGGATTTTGAAAAAAAAATCCATTGGGAGCCGTTATACGCGGTCGAATTTCTTACAAATGAAATGAAAATATGATGAAAAATTTACTAGATTGAAAAATGCCGCCCTGTGTAATACCGCCCTGTGTAATACCGCCCCAACAGGCCAATTTTGTGAGAATTGTTCTCTGCTTTATAGAAACTTTATTTGCATCTTATTCTGTTTTCAATCATTCGCCAGTCTTAGTTTTTTATAAATGGTATATATTTTTGACAGGTGTTTACATAGGGACAAGATAAATGAATTGTGTTGAGAAAATACCATTTATCACTCAACATTTCTAATTTTATCACTGCACAAATTGCTCCATCTTGTTGTTAATTATGCAGTGTTTGCGCAAACAAAATAGCCTATGCTACATTCTGCATTGGCAAACGTGTATAGGAATAACTAAAACAGAGGCCCAGTCAATTCCACAGAATGACTATTTCATTTTGATTATTCTCAAGAAAATTACTTACAGAAGATTAATATACTACAATAAACGAACTACGATCATATACAATATGTAAGAAAAAAGCTGACTTGGGATTTAAAAGATTTGGGCTTTATGGCCTGTTCATATGGGGTGGGATAGCCCGGTTAGCTGGGATGATGACGTTGTGGTGAGATCTCGCCTTGTACAGTGTTTTCATATATTTTCAAGTTTGTGTTCACATGGAATGTGAGCTAGATCAGTTAGGTGGGATTGCGGTGTAAGAAAAGTGGGATCTCAGTTAAGTGGGATAATAAGTGGGATAATAGGCGGGATGAATTGCATATGAAATGACTTTCAAACTTACCTCAGCAAGCTGAGCTGTCCCGACTAACAAAGCTATCCCACCCCATATGAACCCTTAGAAGGCTACAATTTCATAGTAATATTTCGTATCTATTTAATTTTAAATTAATCGTTACACCAGGTTGCTAAGCTTCCAATAATCACAAATGAAGAGGAAGAGGTTATTTGAAATTGATAAAAATAAAAGAAGTAATTAAATCACTAAAAATATTGAGAAATGAGAGCGAGTTCGTTGGACTCTTTCATCGGCCAATTTTTGAACACATATTTTATATACTGTGTTTCGTGTATATGACATGAAAGACGAACAGAAGCCCTAAGTTAAAATAAATATCGTCTCTATATAGTTTTAATAAGTTATATCATACATTAGACGACTACACCTGTCTTGTCTATTGTCAAAACTGAGTCTCATAAACCTCTGTTCCTTGGCGCCTTTCGCCCAAGCTTGACAAGGGGGACTTGCATTTTTCGACATTGTTTAAAAAGTGAAAAAATTTTCTTATCCAGTGCTCCATAAACGAATGGATTAATAACTGAAGTCCCAAATGTATGAATGGCATTGAACAGCAAAGCATAACTCGGTATCTTTTTTGACGCACTCGTAAAAGCAATCCACAAAACCTGAAATGGAAATCCTGACGCAATAAAGGAAACGACAATCACAAAAGAAACAAACAACGGTTTTGCATTCCGAATTTTTTGCCGATGAAGAAATTCAGACGAGTGTCCTTCTGGGACTTGATTGCGAGCATCCATTCTGGAAATTGTTTTATTGCGTGTCAGAATTTCTTGGCCTATCTTATAGTAAATGAAAGATAGGATTGCAACAGGAAGAAAGAATTGAACAAACGCGAGGAACCATGTATAAGCAAGTTTGAGTGATTCTGATGGCCATTTCTCATAGCAACCGTCTTCTTCGTGAATTTTTCGCACCATACCGTATGGAAGGATGCAAATTATGGCGAACATGTAAACGCTAATTGCAGCGAAATTTAAAGTTCTTCGAGTCACAGGAAGTTTAAAGGGATGGAGAATTGCTCGGTAACGAAGAGCAGAAATTACAACAAGAAAATGTATCCCCGCTGTAAACACTGCCGTATGTGCTGGCGACCAGATCTTGCAAAGAAGATGGGAAGTTGTTGCGATTGAAGGGCTAGCGGTAAATATGGAATATACTTCTGGTGTGGAGAGCAGTAAAGTACATAAATCGCATATTGCCAAGTGAAGAAGAAGATAATAATGGTTGTTCTTGAGTAGACTTCGTTGCAGAGATATGGATACGACGACTGGTATATTACCAAGAACTCCCGAAGAAACAGCTATTAATAGAACAGCTCCTTGTAATTGTGGATCAACTGCCATTTGGTCGAGAGATCTTCTTCCAGCCAATTAATGTAAAGTACTTTGAGGTTGATATCGTGGCCGTTTTTCACTGATATCAAGCTTCTTTTATACTCAAGTTACTTCCGTTTTGGGCGTCTTCGCTGTATGATCAAAATATGGCGATAAAACAATCTTTAAGAACAGTTTCACAGTATCATTTATTATTACTTCAGGCCTTTAAAGATTGCAAAAAGATCTTAAGATGCCGATGGTATAGATCAAACGAATAAGCGTAATGATTAAAATGTAATATAGCCAATAACTTGCCCTTTCGTTTTATCTTGCAAAGACGTCGTTTTCAAATTCTTTGTGCTTTCTACATTTTGCGTTTGCGTACAGATACGGGATTTTAGTGGTGAAATGTACCAGATAAAACCGTATTTCCTTTATAATGTGACTATAATTTGTATATGTTGTTTGGGAACAGCGCAGCGCACGCGACGAAAGCACTTAAGAAGCTCCAGTTCGTGATAGCTGCTATGGAAAAGACAGAAATACACTTGAAAACAATTAAACTTAATGGCTTGCAGCGAAGATGAATTTTAAAATTACTTATCACTGGACGTCGTTGCACTCTGTCAACTGCTTCGAACGTTATAAGCGGCTTCTATATATAATTATGTGCGGTGCTTTGAGTATAAGGGCATTATTGAATTTGTATTGATAGATATTTGACAGCCGTCGCGGGAAAACGTTTGCATGCATGCATATAAATTGTTTCAGCCTTTACTTGTGAAGTCAATGATCAGGTTATCAGTGAATTTTTCCTCGACGCTAAACTTGTTCTGCGTGCAATATCTCTCGATTTCTATATCTCTTTCTGGCCGTATGGCGGCCAAATATCCGTCTATTATAGTTCCAGTCAAAATAGAATTCGCAAGCTCATATAGTTCACCTTGAAACAACAGTTTATTTCAATGGTCTTGACTACACCTTTTTATCTAATTTGTTCATTTATTAAGCGTCGCGATAATGGCGTAATGAGTAAATTTAACATAATTAATCGATTAGTTGCCGCGCTTATACAACTTCATAACTTCTCTAGCAATTGAAATCGCCGACAAATATCGCCTATATAGGCTTAATTGGAAATAACCATTTTGTAAATTAAGGCGCAATATTAAAGTTTTTAATAACACTGACAGCGACAATTACAACGAAAGATTTTAAAAAGTATTTGTCCGTAAGCTTTTCTGTATTTCATGTGTCTCATTCCGTAAATGAAAGCGTTCACAATCGAATTTATGCCATAAGAATCATATTGAACGACCACGTACCAAATCATTTCACATGAGCCGCTACAAAAGTTTTTCAACATTGCCCCGATCATAGTTGGTAAATAACAACAAACCGCCAAGATTATTATTACAATGGAAAATGTTTTAACTTCTTTTAATTAAAACGTGAAATAAACGAAATACAATCCTCATATTGACTGACTGTTCATTGTCGTTGTAGATTCGTGCGACCATAGATTTATCGCAGATTTTTTTAGGCTATCTTTAAAGTAGGGAATGGGGAATGGGGAATGGGTGAATGCGAGAATGCGGGAATGGGGAAATGCGGGAATGAGGGAATAAGGGAATGGGGGAATAAAGGAATGGGGGAATAAGGGAATGGAGGAGTAAGGGAATGGAGGAATAAGGGAATGCGGGAATGGGGAAATAAGGGGATGGGGGATATAAGGGAATAAGGGAATGAGGGAACAAGGGAATGCAGGAAGGGGGGAATAAGGGAATGGGGGAATAAAGGAATGGGGGAATAAGGGAACGCAGGTATGCGGGAATAAGGGAATGGAGGAATAAGGGAACGCAGGAATGGGGGATTAAGGAAACGCAGGAATGGGCAAAATGCGCAGGAATGGGCAAGCAAACCGCCAAGACTATTATTACAATAGAAAATGTTTTAACTTCTTTTAATGCGTGAAATAAACGAAATACAATCCTCATATTGATTGACTGTTCATTGTCGTTGTAGATTCGTGCGACCATGGATTTATCGCAGATTTTTTTAGGCTATCTTTAAAATAGAGAATGGAGAGTGCGGGAATGGGTGAATGCAAGAATGCGGGAATGGGGGAATAAGGGAATGGGGGAATGCGGGAATAAGGGAATGGGCCGGGGAATAAGGGAATGGGGGAATAAGGGAATGGGGGAATTAGGGAATGGGGGAATAAGGAAACGCAGGAATGGGGGAGTAAGGGAATGGGGAATAAGAGAATGGAGGAATAAGGGAATGGGGGAATAAGGGAATGGGGGAATAAGGGAATGAAAGAATAAGGTAACGCAGGTATGGAGGAATAAAGGAATGGAGGAATAAGGGAATGGGGGAATAAGGGAATGAAGGAATACAGGAATAAAGAAATGGGGGAATAAGGGAATGGGCCGGGGAATAAGGGAACGCAGGTATGGAGGAATAAAGGAATGGAGGAATAAGGGAATGGGGGAATAATAAGGGAATGGGGGGATAATGGAATGGGGGAATAAGGGAATGGAGGGATGAGGGATTGGGAATAAGGGAACGCAGTTATGGAGGAAAAAGGGAATGGGGGAACGGTGAACGAGTGAGCGGGGAATAGGGGGATGGGGGGAACCAAGGAACAGGGTAAAGGTAGAACTATGAACTCAATGAGCAGCTATAAATTAATAGTAACAGTCTTGCATGAGCCTGAAAGAAACAACTGTTAGTATATATATTAGGCGTGTATACAGTATTTTGGCTCTTGGCATCTAGGATGCTACTTACAAATATATTTATTGTTATTAATGCCAACCTGGGCGGAAAGTGTTAATTGTTATTGTGAAACTCAGGCACTCTTGTATTAGATTTTACTACAGTGAAAAATCAAAATATACTTGCCTTTCAGAAAAAATTGAAACTATAAATGAGATAATGGTGTTGTTGTGTGCTAGTGTGTTCATTTAGTTAGCAAGAAAGTGTTCTGTGTATATAATTTTCATGCATGCATGTTCGCATTTGCTTTCACCAAAATCTATAAATGAACCCACTGACCCTTAACTAAGGACTGTCATCCTTCATAAGCGGGTTGGGGGGTGAAGAGAAAAGGGTAGCTAGGGTAATTGCATGAAAATGAAGTGTTATTAACAATATAAATCCTTTATCATTAAAATCTTCAACCAGGCATGAACTAGCGCTGTACAATCCTAAATCATTATACATCAAGTGACTGACGTACATCAGCAATATATAGTCAACATATTTGCTCTTTTCCAATCAGCATACAATCTACAAAGCTAAAAATCTTAATGAGTCTCGGGCCTATATAGCTAGTTATATAAAAACATTATATCAGAAAGTATTTATATATATTTATATATATACAATTTAACTCTAGCTTTTTCAAAATGGTTGTATATTTAGATTGGTTTACTCCACTGATTTTATACAACAAACCTTTTGAGAAACATATAATTGTGATGAATATGTTTTGTTGAAAGAAACATTCTTGGTTACAGTGAAACAATAATGTGCATTTTGTGAATAACTTGGTAATTATGTAATAAGCAATGTTTACACTTTATAATTATTAAATACTTGATAAGAAATCTAGATATCTGCTGTATAAACCTCAAATTGGCATGCAAACATTGCAATACTGAATACTATGTATGTTTATTACCTTTAATTTTATGACATTTACTCAAATACATAAATACTTCCTGTACTACAAAGTCTACAATAGATATATCTAAATGCCCTACTTGATTATATATTTTCTGATATAATGTTTTCATATATAACTAGCTATATATAGGCCTGAGACTTCTCACTAAGGAATTACTGAGACTCATTAAATAAAATTTTAAGCTTTGTATGCTGATTGGGAAAGAGCCAATAAATTATGTTGACTATATAAACTAAATGAACACACTAGCACACAATAATATCATTATTCTATTTATGGTTTTATTTTTTAACGAAAGGCATGTATATTATGATTTTTCACTTTGCCAAAATCTAATACAAGAGTGTCTTAGTTTTAACACTTGCCAGGTTGGCATTAAAAACAATAAGTATATTTGTAATTAGCATCCTAGATGCAGAAAGCCATAATACTGTATACACGCCTATGATGTGGATAATATATACTAGCAGTTGTTCCTTTTAGGCTCAAGACTGTTACGATTAGTTTAGCGTAACGTTTTATGAGAATATGTAATCCAATCGAATTATAATATTTGCACAAAAACTTTTAATTGAGTTATATTATTATAATATATACCACTTATTAACCGAATTTGAGGTCCCTACTAGAAAAATATCAGACCGAGGTCTTGACAGGTCTGATATTTTTTCAGTACGGACCGAACGTATTCGGTTAATAAAGGATTTATTATATGGCATACAGTATTTAGTTTATTTATTTATACAACGCCCTGCAGCATTCTTGACGGCTCTTTCGCCAGCCAGTCGCCAAGCAAGCACTGAAGTGGCTTCCAAAACTTTGTTTTTTACTCGTTAAATAAGAATGATACAGTAATATAAACAAAAATCAAAGATGAATAAATATATTCACATGTACCAAATAATGCTCTTCTTCGTCCATTTTCCATCGATATTTTTCGTGTCAAAAATAAAAGTGCAAGCTTGTTTTTGTTCAGAAATATGAGAATTCGCCGTTACTACGGCAACGGTCTAATACTGGGGGATTCCAGACCGGCAAAGAACCAATCAGCGCATGCCATTTAGTCACAAGACCGCGTGTCATATAATAATGTGAGTTATTGGGAGAACTCGAAATATAAACGTGGAAAAACTCACCCTATGGGGCCGTTTCTCCACTGAATATTTCACGTCTGTTAAATAGTATAAGCTCACACACAAGTTATTTTATTCTATTTTAATGTCAAATTCCAGTTCCTAAAAGCGCAAGCTTTTTTACAAAACAATAGAAAAACATAACATAACGTTCGGGGCGTCCGTGTTCAATCTTAAGGGGCAATTCTGCCCCATGCTTCTGAGCGCCCCGTAACATCTCCCTCCTTCTGAGTTAAACATAAACGTTTTTCATCATACTTATATTAGTTTTCAGTCACGTAGTCTTCAAGATATGCCGGTCTACGTGTTTGTCTATTTGATGTTCTCACTGTGCTCCTGGGAGTGGTGTGCTCTACAGGTGGCTGAGGAATTGGTTCTTCAGATTCAGGCTCCTGCTGCTGGCCTGGTGTATTCTGCTCTTGCACTGGCAACTCTCCGTCTACATCTGCTTCTGAATCGCCTAGCTCTGCAGTTTTCCGGATATGCCTGCGATTTCTTCTATAGTTTCCTCCATCATCAGTTGCCACAATATACGACCTTGGACTAACAATCGCTTTCACCGTCCCTTTCCTCCACCTATCCTTTCCTTTCTCGGGCATCATACGAACCGCATCACCGACCTTGAGTGGTGTAAGCTTCTTGGATCCTCTATTGTAATAGTAGGCTTGTTTAGCTCTTGCCTTTTTCAGCTCTTGCTTTGTTGAATGCGTACAGGTGGGCTCAAGCAGTTGGCGCGAGATTGGAATTTGGGATCTTGTTCTCCTGCCAAACAATCGTTGGGCGGGCGAGGTAGTCATACCTTCCGATGGCGTGTTCCGGTGTTCTAGTATTGCCAGGTACGGATCTGCTTTCGCATCCAACGCTTTCTTCATAATTCGCTTTGCTATCTTCACAGCACTTTCCGCTTTCCCATTCGATTGAGGATATCGAGGCGACGAGGTCACATGCTCGAATTCATATCGTGTGGCAAAATCCTGAAACTCGCGGGAACTGTATTGAGGACCGTTGTCACTGACTACCCTCTCCGGTATCCCGTACCGTGCCATGTGTGCCTTTAATTTGTGGATTACTTCAGTGCTGGTCTTCGAGTACAGTCTATCCACCTCTATAAAGTTAGAGTAGTAATCTACTGTAACAAGATAATCTTTGTTTCCAAACTCAAACAAGTCTGTTGCAATCGACTCCCATGGACGCGTTGGGACTGGAGAACTCATAAGAGGTTCTTTCTGGTTTATTGTTCGGTACTGCGCACAAATATTGCACTTTGCGATGAGATCCTCAATGTTTTTGTTCATTCCTGGCCAATAGAATACTTCCCTGGCTCTTCTGAGTGTAGCCTGTACCCCACCATGGTTGTAGTGAAGTTTCTCTTGCATTTCAGCTCTCAATCCTTCTGGCACAATCAATCTCTCGCCTTTAAAGATAACTCCATTTTGTACGGTCAACTCGTCGCGAAACGGGTAATACACTCGTAATGCTGGAGACACCTCATTCTCTGTGTTTGGCCACCCTTCTTTCACAATTCTCACCAGTGCCTGCAGGTTGCTGTCTGCCGCTGTGTGCTCTTTAATTTGGGCTAGAGTAGTTTCTCTTACTGCTAGATTCTGCAGCATGTCAATTTGCTCTACTTCTCTTTCCGTTATTGATCTTGTGTCCTGCATGATCATCACTTCCTCGGTCTCTCCTGGTCCTTCGACATTTGGCTGGTGGGAAGTTGCTCGACTTAGCGTATCTGCCATAAACATAAGTGGTCCCTTCTTGTACACGACTTCGAGCTCAAACTTCTGGAGTCGTAGCATCATACGTTGTAGGCGCTTTGGTGCACTTAGTAGGCTTTTTTTTAGGATTGACTCAAGTGGTTTATGATCTGATTCTACTTTTACGTGTCGACCATACAGATAACTTTCAAATCTCTCCATCCCATACACGATGGCCAGCATCTCCTTCTCTATCTGAGCGTACTGTACTTCGGTTGGTGTTAACGACCTTGACGCATATGCCACTGGTTGGTTGTTCTGTAACAGGCAGGCCCCAAGACCATTCATGGATGCATCACACTGCAGGACTGGCATTACATCAGGGTCGAAGAACCGTAGCACTGGTGGTTCTGAGAGCATCTGTCGGATTTCCTCCAACGCTTTCCCATGCACATGCTTCTCCCACCGGAATTCATGTCCGTGCTTGATCAGATCACGTAGAGGTGTAGTGATCTCAGCTAACTTAGGGGCGAACTTTTGCACATAGTTCACCATGCCAAGCAATCTCTGTACTCCCAACTTGTCTGTGGGGGCAGGCATGTCTCTGATGGCCTTCGTCTTCTCGGGGTCGATCTTCAGTCCATTCGATGTCAGACGATGGCCCATGTAGCTAACCTCTTCGAGTCGAAGTTGAATCTTGTCAGGGTTCAGCTTGAGACCCTTCTCTCTACACCGTTCCATCAAACCCCTGAGGTTCTTGTCATGGTCGAGATATGCCTCTTCATCTGTTGCACCACTGCCATAAACAAGAAGGTCATCTGCGATGACTTTGACTCCAGGTAGACCCAACAAGATATCGTTCACACGTCGTTGAAACTCTTCAGGTGCGGGTGATATGCCGAAGGGCATTCGCAACCACCGATACCGACCCCATGGAGTGCCAAAGGTTGTTGCATATGAACTGGCCTCATCCAGCTGGATATGCCAAAACCCGTTCTTGGCATCAAGGACTGAGAAACAGCGAGCGTGGGCCAAATCCGGTAGGATCTCATCAATGGTGGGTGAAGGGTAATGGTTACGCTTGAGGGCTTTATTTAATGGTTTGGGGTCAATACACAAACGGATGTCCCCATTCTTCTTGACTGTAACAACAATAGCCGATATCCAGGTCGTCGGCGTATCCACTGGAGCTATGACATTCGTGTCAACTAGTCGGTCAAGCTCTGCTTTGAGTTTGTCTTTTACAGCCAGTGGAATCCTTCGTGTTGGGAGCTGGACTGGGGAAATAGTTTCATCAATCTCTAGATGCAGTTCCCCTGGTAAAGTTCCTTGACCTTGGAACAGTTCTGGATACTCCTTAATGAGATACTTTTTGGTGATAAACTTGGGTGCATCTTTGACGCTCGGCGTAGTTGTAAAAATGTTCTCTTTGTTAACAACAAGTAAGTTCATGAGCTGACTGGCTTTAGCCCCAAGTATGGACTTGCAATTCTCTTCCACAACCATAAACTCTATGCTGTACTTCTTGTTATTCTTAGGATTGATAACTTGGAGCCTTGTCTTTCCAATAGGCTTCACTTCTGACCCATTATACATTACCAGAGTTGTGTTTGTCTTCACCAACTTCTTCTCGATAGGCTTTTGGAAACACCCTGCCAGTGTTCTTTTAGATAGTACGTTTACTGCTGCTCCACTGTCAAGCTGGAAACTTTCAAGTGTTCTGTTAATCATCAAGGAGGCACTTGGTTTGTGGGTGTATTGATCAGAGTTAACAGCACCCACCTCTTCTTTGGTCTCCACCAGAGCTATATACTCTCCTTCTGACGAGTCTGTATCCGTATTGATGCCGGATACTGGCTCTCTTTTGGTCAATGGTCTTCTCTGAGCATTGCAGACGACTGCGAAGTGGTTCTTTCTTTTACACTGTGAGCATGTTTTGCCCCAAGCTGGGCATTTGAATTTATCTCTGAGATGAGATTTACTGCAAAATTTACACCTTATTAGCCCTTCGTCAGCTCTTTTCTCAACTGGCTTCCTCTGCTCTTTGTGCTGTTCTTTGCTAACAGCCAACACTTTCTCATCTTCAGCTTTCATCGACTCGAGTTGCTTCGCCGTCTTCTCCCAAGACCGAACTATATCTATGCTTTGTTGCAGGGTAAGCTTTGAGACTTGCAATAATTTCTTTCGTGTGGCGTTGTCCTTAATACCCATAACAATACGATCTCTTATCAAGCTGTCTTCCAAATTACCAAAGTTACATGTCTTGGCTAATGTGCGAAGGACTGCGAAGTAAGCATCGACCGTTTCGTGTGACTCTTGATCTCTTTTATTAAAACAGTACCGTTCGTACGTCTCATTTGTTTCTCCAATACAATACTTTTCCAACTTACTTACAACAACATCGATGTCTTTTCTCTCTTCTTCATTCGCGAAATCCAAACCGTCCAAGACATCCAGAGCATCAGCTCCAATGCACGTCAACAAAGTCGCTGTTCGCAGCTCTTTGTTTGTACTAGGGTCACTAGAGTCCCGCAGCCGTGCGGCAAGTTCGTAGTTGCGCCAAGCACGATAAAACCTTTTCCAATTCGTTGCCAGGTTACCGGTCATGGCCAGCTGAGGTGGCATTGGCAAATTCACCGGAATTTGCACCACTTTAACCTCCTGAGAAGGCTGAGATGCCGTTGAGGTTGTCGCTTGCTCATGGTCCGTCATATTTTCAATCAGACACGATCTTCTGAAATACTTCACTCGTAATTTTAACACAAGCTCCTGGAATGCTTCACACGATAAGTCTTCTAAGCGATAAGTAACTGTTTACCTCACTCCTGGTACCATGTTAAATAGTATAAGCTCACACACAAGTTATTTTATTCTATTTTAATGTCAAATTCCAGTTCCTAAAAGCGCAAGCTTTTTTACAAAACAATAGAAAAACATAACATAACGTTCGGGGCGTCCGTGTTCAATCTTAAGGGGCAATTCTGCCCCATGCTTCTGAGCGCCCCGTAACAACGTCCTCCCAGATTCCCACGCGTGTTCCAATAATTGTATAGAAACACGAAAAATGTTTTCTATTTCTTAATTAGTCCATAGTATGGAAATGTTAATTAGTATGGATATTATAAATTTCATACTATTTCCACCTGAAATCCATACTATGTCCATAATATGGATTTTGAAAAAAATCTCCGTTGGGAACCGTTGCTCCAATTTCTTACAAATGAAATGAAAATATGATGAAAAATTGATTAGATTGAAAAATACTGCCCTCTGTAAAACCATCCCTACAGGCCGATGTTGTGAGAATTGTTTTCTGCTTTATAGAAACTTTATTTGCATGTTCTTCTGTTTTCAATCATTCGTCAGTCTTACGAAACTTTTTTTGTTTGCCGGAAAACAAATATTCGTCATTCTTTTTATGACAAAAATCATGTAATTGTTGCAAAGCTATAGGCCATGGTTTTAAAAAACCTAGATATTTTTGACAGGAATTTTTGACTGGACGTATATCAGTTGCCAAGAATTCCCAAAAAACGGCTATTAAAAGAACAGCTCCTTAATGCAATTGTGGGTCAAATGCCATTTTGTCGAAAGATCTTCCTCCTGAAAGTTAATGTAAAGTACTTTGAGGTTGATATCGTGGCCGTTTTGCACTGATATCAACCTTTTTTTACATTCAAGTTTTTTCCGTCCTCGCTGTAAGATTAAAATATCGCGATAAAACAATCTTAGAAAACAAATACACAGTATCATGCAATTATTATTACTTCAGGCCTTTGAACATTGCAAAAAGTTCTTAATATAGAATAACTTGCCATTTCGTTTTATCTTGCAAAGACATCTTTTTCAAATGCTTTGTGCTTTCTACGTTTTGCATTTGTGTACAGATACGTGATTGTACTGAAAAAATGTGCCAGATGAATCCGTATTTCCTTTATAATCTGACTGGCTCAGAGATATTCTCTTTGTTTATCTGCGCCTTGACTTTCTTTGAGATATAATGGACTCAAACGATGAAATAATACACAAACCAAATTACTTGCATGTGATTGGTCCATCACGAGGCCATTTTCACACAATCGAGGCTAAATTACAGGTCAAAATTTCATAACGCTGCATGATTAGAATAATTTGTATTTGTTGCTTAGCAACAGAGTAGCGCACACGACGAAAAACACAGCTCCAGTTCATGATAGCTGCTGCTATCGAAAAGACAGAAATATACTTGAAAACAATTAAACTTAATAGCTCCCAGCGAAGATAAGATTTAAAAATTATTTTATTCATATTTTCCCAACTCGAGCTGATTTTGGCAAAAATTGAAAATGAAAGTAAATATGGACCCAAATTCTACTTCTGAAAACTTCTGTCATAATAAGTGATCACTGGACGTCGTTGCACTCTGTCAACTGCTTCGAACGTTGTAAGCGGCTTCTATAATTATTATGTGCGGTGCTTAGAGTATCATATGCAGCGATGTTCTTAGAGTCATTGAGCTTTCAACAATCTACGCGGTTGTGCGACCGTTACGTGTGGTTCTTTTGCATCATTACTTGGTAGTGGGGTTGTATGTTCCGACAGCGGGGAATGTTTTCTTCAGGGTGATTATTTTATCCGTGCAGCTCTTTATTATTTTAATTCGAAATTGCGACTATATATATTACGCGATTTAAAAGAGGTTATTATATTTATTATTATTATTATTATTATTTTATTATTATTAAAAAATACACATAAAGTAGCTTAGACAGCTAAATTACAATGTGATTTACAGGTTCATAAAAATAATTTAAGAAATATTACATTTTAGAATTACAATAATTCATACTCTAATCTATATTACAAAACTAGAAGTAAATTACAAAAGCTATATTTTAAATATTAAGAAACTAATAAAATAGTTAAGAATCATCAATTTTGAGATTGTACTTACGAATCGCATATACTAGAGGACTATTTCTAAAGCGCTCTGTTCTGCATTTAAAATTGTAAATTTTATTTACATTAAGTCTCGTGTCTCTCTCCCGTAATTGACCTACAGTTGGTGGTAGCAAATCATTGAGTTTATGTGAAGGGTCCTTTATATCCTTTATCAAGTTTATGCACATTAACTCTCTTCGACTTTCCAAAGTTTTAATACCACATTCAGTTAATGCTTGTTCATAATTCTTTTCCGGGCATATATTTTCATTGCACGCTTTTGAATTCTCTCTATATCCCTAGATTGTTCCTCTGTCAAACTCCCATGCCAAATTTGAGCTCCATATTCTACGATTGATCGAATTGCCGAAGTATAAATAGTTTTCAAGTCATCTCGCGGAGCATTATATCCTTTTAAAATTTTTAAAAGATATAATCGTTTAGCTGCCTTTTTGACAATGTATTCCGTATTTGTTCTCCATTTTAGATCATCGTCTAACCACAATCCAAGTAATTTATACGAGCTTACTCTTTCTAGGATGCATTCATCGACTTCTGTTGCAGGAATAGCTGTTCTATCCTTTCGAAAGTCGATAATCATCTCTTTGCACTTTTTTGGGTTTAACTCCATTCTCTCAATTTCCGCAAAATTCTTTACCGAATTAATTTTTTGGGGTATATTACCAATTTCCGTGCCAGAGATATGATTGTGAACATCCAGTGCCTCACTAATCGTTGTATCGTCCATGAAGAGAATCGTATCTTCATCCACAACGACATCATTATTTCCATTTCCTACAACAGCTTCTGCTATAACACTAGGTAACATATTAATTTTAACCACAAAAGCAATAGGTCCCAGCTTACTGCCTTGCGGAACGCCTCCCATAACATTCGCAAAATCAGATACTTCGTTTCCAAACTGTGTAAAATGAGATCTCTCGTCCAGGTACGATGCATACCATTTGATCAGAGCAGGTCTTACACCAATTTCTCGCATGTTTTCTAAGAGTTTATTATGATCGATAAGGTCAAATGCCTTTCGGAAATCCAAAAAGACTATTCTTATCACTCTGTGCAGTTCATCCAATGATTTATGCCACTTGTGTATTAAATTAACCAGCGCATTAATTGTCGATGATCGTGGTAGACCCCCATATTGAGAATCAGAAATTTTTTCATCGGTATCTTCATATATCCACTGAACAGCAAAAGATTCTTGAACCTTTGCTAGGACACTAGTTAAAGCAATTGGTCTTAACTCTTCAACATGCGTACATGGTACAGATTTAGGGATTCCAGATACCTTGTATTTTTTCCAGATCTCAGGAAAAATTTTTGATTGAAAAGATTCATTAAAGATTTCGGTCAAAGGTACAGCAAAATATTTTGTAAAAATCTTCAAGATCTTCAGAGAGGGATCATAAGGACCAGGAGCTTTATTAAGGTTAATTTTACGCAATTCTCGTTGTACCTGGTCGACAGTAATTAGAGGTAGATTCTCTATACATTGAAATTCCAACCAATTTTCGTTCACTTTCGGATAATTCTTAGTTAAGTTTGCAAAATAATCGTTTATATAATGAGCAGACTGCTTATCATCCATCTGAAACCCAGTATTGGGATCCAACATTATTGGTTTAGCAGTTTTCTTGCCGATCAAGCCCTTCATTTGTTTCCACCAAGATTTAGGGTTGTTTTTAAAGTTTGGACTTACTTTATTCTCGTAGAAATCAATTTTCGCTTTCCGAATTTCTGCCGAGACTTGTCTTCTGAGACTTTTCACACGCTCAACTTTTTTATTTTTAAAAGCCATATTCCTTTTAAGAATCAACGATTTTATTTTAGCTGTCATAAAAGGTTTATCCTTACTATAAACTTTAACCGTTTTTTCCGGAAAATATTCAGAAATCATATTCTCAGTGACCTGAAGAAAGGTATTGACTTTTTCATTGATGTCGGAGGTGTAAAGAACCGAAGACCAGTTATAACTTGCTAGTAGAGATTCGAAATTCTCTAACTGCTGCTGTCGGATTTTTCTCACTTTGATTTTAATCGTAGTTCCTTTCTCCGTAATATGAGACTTGGACTTCCAGCTGATGATATTATGATCCGACGTTGACAGTGGGGCTAGGATTTCCGGAGTTTCGTAACAGTCAGCCATGTCAGTGAATATTAAATCAAGGATGTTTCTGTTTCTGGTAGGTTGCGTTACAATTTGTTTAAGATGACAATGCCTCTTTAAACGGTTTTGTTGGAACCCATTACTATCTGGATTGAAATCGCCTCCTAGAATAATTGCCGTATGTGGGCTTTCTAGACAAAGCTGGTCATAACAGTTGTTGATATAATCATAGAAATTGTCAATTTCAGATACATTTAGGTTTGGTGGAAGGTATGCGCATCCTACTGCAATCCTTGAAATTGATCTTGGTAACCACTTTGGGCGGATAGTAATCCATAAGCATTCAAACAGTTGATCGTTTAAATCATCACGCGTTTTTAGTGGTATACTTTCATTGACATATATTGCTACCCCTCCACCTCTACCACACAATCGATCTTTTCTGATAATGTTCAGACCAGAAACATTCACAACCTCATCAGGGATTACATCTCTTAACCATGTTTCTGTCACAAGAATTAAGTCAGCAATATACTTATCTCTAAGGATTTCAAGTTCATTTACCTTATTGACTAATGATCTTGCATTCAGATCATAATATTAGGGACAGCTCTATTATTATCCAGGGGGCGTTGTGCTTTTTCAGGGTGGATTCTGATACAGTTATTAACGCAATGCGTTCTGACATTGTTATTTGGTGAACTTTGTCTCTGTTCTGTTATTCTAACAGGAATACTTTGTGTGTTATTTACCTCAGTACTGTCCGACAATGTCACAGGAACAAGGTTTCCTGTATTACGCTTTGATAAACGTGAGCGATATTTACGTTGGGTTATCACAACGGGAATATTGTTGAATCTGATTGGAATGTGAGCCATTAGACGTATGTTGAAAAATTCCCATGATGGGTGGTGTTAAATTTGATTTAACGTCTAATGGAATTTCTAGTGCTTTTCGATTGCCACAGATTACATTTGACAAATCTTGGCCAGAAACCTTCCGATTGAACTTCAGACCACATTGAAGATGGTATGTGGATTTTAGCAGATTGGGTTCCTCTTCGTTGACTTCGAAACAGAGCAATGTGAGTAGGTATTATATTTCGTTGCTCTAAATAGGATAAGATCTGATTCTCTTGCACGCTCTCGTGTATTCCAGACAGGAAAAGTTTCTTTACTCTTTTCCGCCTTCTGTCAACCCCAATAAAGCCATCACCTTCAGTATTTCTTTGTAATGGGACACTTAGTAAAGTATCTTCAGGGTTATTAACCATATTTGGTTTTTCCTTAGGTTTACGGGGTTTTGGATGCCTTTTAACCACTTGGGCATAGGATTCTCGACGCGCCACAACACAGCCAACTTCTCTATCAGTAAGAGTCTCGTCAGATTCATCCGACTGACTAGTGAATCCTGCTTCATTGCTTCCTATAGAATTTTTTAATTGATCTGACACTAAGGTGTCATTAGCGTCAGTTTCAATACAGTCTTGGGCAATAACTTGATTTACATTTTCTCTTTCTTCGTTATGGTTAATCGACTTTGTCGAAGACCCCTCTGTAAGGCTTGTTTCATTCTTCCTGATGAAATCTTGAAATTCTGAAATTACTGAAGTTATGTGCAAGATAGAGTTCGACAATGATTGAATTGCCTCGCTATTCACTTGTTGATCTTGCTTCATACATTCTATATCAGTGTAGAAATCAGGCGATTCACCCGAATGAACTTTGCCCATGTCATGTACAGACACAGGTTCTGAGATGTCGTCTTCACACTCACATATATGCTTACATAATTCCTTCTTGAAGTTGTTAGCTTTCGATCCATTAAAGGACAACAAGTTCTTACTCTTTCTCCAGAGGATCGTCGAATCTTCGGTTGTGAAAAGCTTTCTATCCCCGCCGGGTTGAGACCAAACACCATCAAGTTTGAAGGTTTCATAAACAAACCTTTTCAACGATTCATAGTCCCCGTTCCAAGCTAAACTTAGCTTGTTTGTTATCGCCATAGCATAAATCAAATAACTTATAACTCTTGTACCAGTTTGGAGCTTATTAGACAGCTTATTAAGTTGAATATGTTGAAATCTTATAAAGAAATTTATCGGAGCTAAATTTTCACGTCCGCCATGTTCATTCGTCCACAATTAATACCGGAGCTAAATTTTCACGTCCACCATGTTCATTCGTCCACAAATTTAAGGTTATTGGACAGATTTAGATTATTTCTATACAAGTTAAAGACTAAAGTGGTGTTTCCTGATCAAAATTGTCAATACATTTTTGGTCAGTCTCAATGCTGTTGTTTTATTTCTATGTGTTTCAACTTATTGAATTTGTTATGGGAGATATTTGACAGTTGCAGCGAGAAAACGTTTGCATGCATATAAATTGTTTCAGCCTTTACTTGTGAAGGCCATTACTCTCACTGTCAGGTTCACGATAAATCACGTTAAACTCTGAGTTACGAATTCTATTGTGAAATATGATTGACATACGATATTTACATAACGGAAGTAAAACCTAAAAGTAATTAAAATACATTAGAATAAAACATTCGGTACATGTAAATATGTCCACTGCAATAATTACGTGAAAAATGACTCGAAAAAGATATGACGTAGTGAATAGGCCTTTTTGAGAATGAGGTCACAACATTGCTTTAAATTTAGAGCCACATTAAATGAGATTAATTTATGCTCGAAAACACAATCTTTATTCCTAAAAATTCAAGCTTCTTACGGCGGTTTCCACCAAGCCAAAATTTTTCGCTTGATTTTTAGTTTTAATGCTGGCCAGTCAAAAGACATTGGAAATTTTATTCAAAATTCGCCGTATGGAGATTTTCTAAATGCATTCTGTTCCATAATATAATATTTTAATATAACATTTTTAGTACGCGCGTGCTGATTGGTAAAGAAGCGTGTTTCTATAACTGTATATGGAAGCACATAAAATGTTTTCTATTTCTTAATTTGTCCATACTATGGAAATGTTAATTAAAATGAATATTATAAATTCCATACTATTTCAAACTGAAATCCATACTATGTCCATAATATGGATTTTGAAAAAAAAATCAAGGTCAACATTTTGTTGTTAATTATGCAGTGTTTGCGCAGACAAAATAGCCTATATATACGTTCTGTTACATTCAGCATTGGGCAAACGTGTATAGGAGTAACTAAAAACAGAGGCCCAGTTAATTCCGCAGAATGAGTAAGTACTTTATTTTGATTATTTCTCAGGAATATTACTTACATTCAGAAAATTATTATACTGCTATATATACGGACTACGATCATATTATACAATATGTAAGAAAAAAAATGATTTGGGATTTGAATGATTTGGGCTTTAGCGCCGGTTCATATGGGGTGGGATAGTCCTGTTAGCTGAGATGATGACGTTAATTGAGGTGAGATCTCGCATCGTACAGTATTTTCATATATTTTCAAGTTTGTGTTCATATGGAATGTGAGCTAGCTCAGTTAGGTGGGATCCCGGTGTAAGCAAAGTTGGATCTCAGTCAAGTGAGATCAAAATTCTCCATATGAACGCAAATTCTCGATTTTGTTCCGTTAAGCCGAGGTAAAAGCAACCGCGCATTTTCGATCACACGCGCTTGCTTGACAAAGGTAGGATAATAAGTGGGATCATAGGCGGGATGAATTGAGATATGAAACGACCTTCAAACTTACCACAGCAAGCCGAGCTCTCCCGCGGCTATCAGGGCTATCTCACCCAATATGAATAGGCCCTGCATGAGAAGGCTACAATTTCATTGTAACATTTCGTATCTATTTTAAAATCATCGTTACAGCAGGAAGCTAAGCTTCCAATAATCACAAATCAAGAGGAAGAGGTTATTTGCAATTGATAAAAATAAAAGAAGTAATTCAGTAAATATCTTGAGAAATGAGAGCGAGTTCCTTGAACTCTTTCGGCGGCCTATTTTTGGACGTATATTTTATATATTTCGTGTATAATGCATCAAAGATGAACAGAAGCTAAAATAAATATCGTCTCTATATAGTTTTAATAAGTTACGTCATACATTAGATAGCTACACCTGTCTCGTCTATAGTGTCAAAATTGAGTATCATAAACCTCTGTTCCTTGGCGCATTTCGCTCAAGCTTGACAAGGGAAGTTGCATTTTTCGACATTGTTTAAAAAGTGAAAAAATTTTCTTATCCAGTGCTCCATAAACGAATGGATTAATAACTAAAGTTCCAAATATATAAATCGCGTTGAACAGGAAATCATAACTCGGTATCTTTTTTGATGCACTCGTAAAAGCAATCCACAAAACCTGCAATGGAAATCCTGACACAATAAAGGAAACGACAATAACAAAAGAAACAAACAACGGTTTTGCACTCCGAATTTTTTGCCGACGACGAAATTCAGACGAATGTCTCTCTGGGACTTGACTGCGAGCATCCATTCTGGAAATTGTTTTACTGCGTATCAGAATTTCTTGACCTATCTTATAGTAAATGAAAGATAGGATTATAACCGGGAGAAAGAATTGAACACACGCGAGGAACCACGTATAAGCAAGGTTGAGTGATTCTGATGGCCATTTCTCATAGCAACCGTTTTCTTCATGAAATGTTAACACCATGGCGAATGGAAGGATGCAAATTATTGCGAACACGTGGACACAAACTGCAGCGAAATTCAGAGTTCTTCGAGTCACAGGAAGTTTGAAGGGATGAAGAATTGCTCGGTAACGAAGAGCAGAAATTACAACAAGAAAATTTGCCCCTGCTGTAAACACTGCCGTATGTGCTGGCCACCAGATCTTGCAAAGAAAATTGGAAGTTGTTGTGATTGAAGGGCTGGCGGTAAATATGGAATATATATTTGGTATGAAAAACAGAAGAGTACATAAATCGCATATTGCCAAGTGAAGAAGAAGATAATAATGGTTGTTTTTGAGTAGACTTCGTTGCAGAGATATGGATACGACGACTGGTATATTTCCAAGAATTCCCAAAGAAACAGCTACTAATAAAACAGCTCCTTGCAATTGTAGATCAACTGTCATTTTTTAGAAAGATCTTTCCCCGGACAATTAATGTAAAGTACTTTGAGGTTGATATCGTGGCCGTTTTTCACAGATATTAAGCTTCTTTTATATTCAAGTTATTTCCATCCTCGCTGTATGACCAAAATAATTATGGCGATAAAACAATCTTTAAGAAAAGTTTTGTTTATTATTACATCAGGCCTTTAAAGATTGCGAAAAGATCTTAAGATGCCGATAGTAGTTCAAACGAAGCGTAATGATTAAAATGCAATATAGCCAATAACTTGCCCTTTCGTTTTATCTGACAAAGACGTCGTTTTCAAATGCTTTGTGCTTTCTATATTTTGCGTTTGTGTACAGATACGGGATTGTAGTGGAAACCGTATTTCCTTTATAATCTGGCAGGCTATTTATCAGTCAGTCAGGCGCTTTTTTACTAGTGCAAAATATTGATGTGAAAAAGATGCAAAGATCACATAATGAACTGTGGGACTTTCTATCCTTCACTTTTTTTTACTATCCTTAACAGATTCAAACGATGAAATAATATAAATGGCAAAATTACTCGGATGTGATTGGTCCATCACGTGGATATTTTTACTCAATCGAGGCTAAATTACAAGTCAAAATTATGCAACGCTGCATGATTCGAATAATTTGTATTTGTTGCTTAGCAACAGAGCAGCGCACACGACGAAAAGCACAGCTCCAGTTCATGATAGCTGCTGCTATCAGAAAGACAGAAATATACTTGAAAACAATTAAACTTAATAGCTCCCAGCGAGGAAAAATTTTGAAATTATTGCATTCATATTTTTCCAACCCGAGCCAATTTTGGCAATAATTGAAAATGAAGGTAAAATTAGACCCGAATTCCACTTCTGAAAACTTCTGTCATAATAAGCGATCACTGGACGTCGTTGTACTCCCTTCACTGTTTCGAACGTTATAAGCGGCCTCTATAATTATGTGCGGTGCTTAGAGTATCATATGCAGCGATGCTCTTAGAGTTAAGGCTGCTTTCCACTTACGCGTTTTTTATACGCACGTACACGTACGGAAAATTTTAAATGCTTTTAAATTTTTATCATTTAACATCTAGGTCAACTAATGCATACTTAATATGCAGCAAACTAAGTTCCTTCGATTTATTCACTTAGTTTTTTCAAAGATAAAATGTAAAAGGATTTAGATTTTTACGTGCGTGTACGTGCGTATGAAAAACGCGTAAGTGGAAAACAGCCTATATCGAGCTTTCGACAATCTACGCGGTTGTGCGACCGTTACGTGTGGTTCTTTTGCATCATTACTTGGTAGTGAGGTTGTATGTTCCGACAGCGGAGAATATTTTCTTCAGGGTGATTAAATTATCCAGCTGCTTACTATTTCAATTCGAAATGGCGACTATATTACGCGATTTAAAACAGGTTATTTTATTAATTGAACCGATTTAAATTGTTTCTATACATGCAAGTTGAAGGCTGAAGTCATGGTTCCTGACCAAAATTGTGAATACATTTTTGGTCAGTTTCAATGCTGTTGTTTTATTTCTCTGTGTTTCGACTTATTGAATTTGTATTGAGAGATATTTGACAGCCGTGGCGAGAAAACGTTTGCATGCATGCATATAAATTGTTTCAGCTTTCAGCTCATACTTGTGAAGGCGATGATCAGGTTATCAGCAAATTTCTCCTCGACGCTGAACTTGTTTTGCGTGCAATATCTCTAGATTTCAAACACTTTCTGGCCGTATGACGGCCAAATATGCGTCAATAATTATCGTTCCAGTCAAAATAGAAAAAGTCATATAATTCACATTCCCAAATTCATATAGTTCAGATTGAAACAACAGATTATTTCAAAGGCCTTGGCTACTCTTTGGGTACTTTTTTTATCAAATTTTTGTGTCAGTCTTTGTATTAAGCTTCGCGATACACGAGCGATATTTGTCCGCGATAATTTTTTTGCTCCGTCCTTCTGGGGTATTGAGTAGTTTAACATAATAGATTATATATAGTGATTATAATCACTGCGCTGAGTTTATACAACTTCATAACTCAATTAGAAAAATACGATAGCAATGGAAATCGCCGACAAATATCGCCTATATAGTCAATCATTATTTCATTCGAAATTATTTGAGCGGAGTGCAATTGCGAGGAGCCGAGAACAATTTGGGATTAAAAGTGCGAGCGATGTTTGAATATTTTGCCAAAATTACCCGAGTTACGAGCAAAAGTACATTTCGAGCTGAATACGCCACTTTGTTACATAAAGCAATGTTTTTTTCATAGTGGCCATTTTGTTTTTGATATACTGGCGTTTGCGCTGACAAAATAGCCAATGTTTTGCTAGAGATGTATATGCGGGTTTTTGTTGTTTTTTCTTGTTGTATTGCATGAGAAAACGTGTATAAGCATAACTATAAAGATAAGACGACTCAAATTCACAAACTATTATTTTAATACTTTTTAGCTAAATCACATGCAGAAATTAAGATTATACTAAAGCCTTGTCTGGCATAACTATATGTCTTTCAGAAACCCATCTTTGAACCGACAGATCTTATATATTTGGTGCATTTAGGCATCGAAGAAAAGCAGAATCTTTAGGTTGAGATAAATATCATCTCTAAATAGTTTCATCAAGATAATCATAAATGGATGACTGTCATTGCCATTTATCAAGCACTTGTCTTTGTCAATAGTCAAAATTTAGTCTCATAAACCTCTCGCCTTGACAAGCTTGACAAGCGGACTTGCATTTTTCGACATTGTTTAAAAAGTGAAAAAATTTTCTTATCCAGTGCTCCATAAACGAATGGATTAATAACTGAAGTCCCAAATATATAAATCGCGTTGAACAGGAAAGCATAACTCGGTATCTTTTTTGACGCACTCGTAAAAGCAATCCACAAAACCTGCGATGGAAATCCTGACACAATGAAAGACAAGACAATCACAAAAGAAACAAACAATGGTTTTGCATTCCGAATTTTTTGCCGATGACGAAATTCAGACGAGTGTTCCTCTGGGATTTGGTTGCGAGCATCCATTCTGGAAATTGTTTTATTGCGTATCAGAATTTCTTGGCCTATCTTATAGTAAATGAAAGATAGGATTATAACCGGGAGAAAAAATTGAACACACGCGAGGAACCATGTATAAGCAAGGCTGAGTGATTCTGATGGCCATTTCTTAGAGCAACCGTCTTCTTCATGAAATGTTAGCACCATAGCGTATGGAAGGATGCAAATTATGGCGAACATGTGGACACAAACTGCAGCGAAATTCAAAGTTCTTCGAGTCACAGGAAGTTTGAAGGGATGAAGAATTGCTCGGTAACGAAGAGCAGAAATTACAACAAGAAAATTTGCCCCTGCTGTAAACACTGCCGTATGTGCTGGCCCCCAGATCTTGCAAAGAAGATGGGAAGTTGTTGTAATTGAAGGGTTAGCGGTAAACATGGAATATACATCTGGTATGAAGAACAGTAACGTACATAAATCGCATATTGCCAAGTGAAGAAGGAGATAATAATGGTTGTTTTTCAGTAGACTTCGTTGCAGAGATATGGATACGACGACTGGTATATTACCAAGAACTCCCAAAGAAACAGCTATTAATAGAACAGTTCCTTGTAATTGTGGATCAACTGCCATTTTGTCGAAAGATCTTCTTCCAGCCAATTAATGAAGAATAAAGAGAGAAAATACCCGGTACTCTGTGGTTAATATTGTCGCCGTTTTGCACTGATATCAAACTTCTTTTATATTCAAGTTTTTTACACGCGTCCTCACTGTCTGATTAAAATATGGCGATAAAATGATCCTTAACAGTAGCTAATTTTACAGTATCATTTATTATTACTTCGGGCCTTTAAAGATTGCGAAAGGATCTTAAGACGCCGATCGTAGTTCTGAGGAAACAAACGTAGCGTAATGATTAATATCTAATTTAGAATAACTTGCCCTTTCACGCTATCTTGCAAAGACCTTGTTTCCAAATGCTGTGTGTATTCCACTTTTGCATATGTGTACGGATACCGTATTCTACTAACAGTGTTATTCAATTTTAAAAGGAGCGAACGCACCAGATGCAACCGTGTTTCCGTTATAATCTGACTGGCTCAGCGATAATGATCTTTGTTTATGTTCTTTTTATATATTTGTAAGGCGCACATGCTGCGTTTTTATTAGTCCAATATTGATTTCAAAAGGCACGCGAGGATGATGAACAGTCGGATGATGAACTGTATGTTTTCTATCGATGACTTTTTGCAGATATAACAGACTCAAATGATTAATAACATATCGGGCAAAATTAGTCGCATGTGATTGTCAATCAAGAGGGCATTTTTCCTCAATTCCGGACAAATTAAAGCGCAAAATGACTTGAGGATAATTAGAAGAATTTGTATTTTTGCACAGAACGGCCCACTCGTCGGGAAAACAACTTAAAAACCTTCAGTAGTATAGCTTCCATCGAAAAGACGGAGATATATCATTTGGAAAACAATAAAATTTTATGGCTTCAAGCGAAGATTAATTTTGGAAAGATTTCACTCGTATTTTCCAAACCCGCGGGCTTATTTCGGCAAATATTGAAAATGAGAAGTGAAATTTTACTTGGAGGCCACAGGCTGTGGCACAGCTGTCTAAAAATAATCAACCGTCATTTCACTCGGTGATTCTATCATTGTTATGCGCTGTGCTTCGCGCCGAGCACTATAAGCAGTGCTTCTAAAGGCGGATTTCCACTTACGGCGAAATCATTCGCTAGCGAAATATTTGCATGTTTTCTTTTGAATTCAGAACAGTCAAGTCGCACTAGTTTATTTATGCTGTTAAAATTCAAAAGAAAATATGCAAATATTTCGCTAGTGAACGATTTCGCTGTAAGTGGAAATCCGCCTTAACATTATGCGCAGTGGTTCGTATATATATACGGTGATGCACAATGTATATTAGTCATGCTGAACTTTCAACAATATAATTGTACGCATCTGTGCGGCCATTACGTGTGTTGCTTTTACATCATTATGTGGTAGTGGGGCAGTATGTTTAAACATCGGGTGAATATCTTCTTTAGGGTGAGCATATCATTTAGCTCATGCTCATTTCAATCCGAAATAGCTTCCATTTTACGCCAGTTAAAATTGGATTATCTCTTTTCAAATCGACGACTAAAATCATAGCTCCATGCATGCAATATTGTTTTTTGGTTTGTTTCAAAGCTGCGCATTTCCTTTGTTTCGGCCGATTGATTATATTTCACATGGGCTGAATGCGAAGGAAAAACTTTTTCAGGCTTTACTCGTAAAAGTGGGAGTAGTGCGATAATCATGCAGGTTATCAGCGCTTCGCCCTCGCTGGACGTCTGCATGCTCTGCACGCCATATCTGTCGAGATCACAGTTGATATACGCTGCACTGAGTCAGAATTCTTAACAAAGTTAATTTCTCATGGATTTCCATAGTTTTCTTAAGAAATAGGGTTACGTTCATCTCCAATATGTTACACTAAAATACACAACAATAGTAACCCCGAATAAAGTAAGCATTTTCATTCAACGTTTCGACTTTATTTAGTCATCATCAGGATTCCTGATAATCCTGATGATGACTAAATAAAGTCGAAACGTTGAATGAAAATGCTTACTTTATTCGGAGTTACTATTGTTGTGTATTTTATGAAAATACTCAGTGGTTCCCGCAATTATGTTACACTAAACCGCGGGTAATTATTCTCTTATAAAGAAAACTCGGTGGTTGTGAATTAAGGCTTTATACAGCCATAAAAACGGCTCAAATACTGCCAGAGATCTTGTGATAAAGTAACTAAAGGGGAGAAATCGATATATTGTTCTAGGAATATAGAAGTCACATTAAAATTTGCTGTCCTAACTTTCAAAATATCATCTATTTTTTGGCTAAAACTGATGTTAATTTGAAAAAAATAAGCAAAATACTATACATTTATCTGACAAAGTACAGCTGGAAATGTAGGTCGAAAAAGAAAAGCCTAAAGTGTATCGTTCGAAAGCTAATATATTTAATTTATAACCAAAATATACTTTACATATTCATGTTGAAATATTGATATGAACGAACTTCAGAAGTTGTATTTTCTATATTGGCATTTATATTTTGCAAATTTAGCTCAATTTTAAATTAATATTTTCTTCCTATGATAAAAATATCAAATGGTTTTTATCACAGGTTTATTTTAAGAACATGTTTGTTATTTCTGGTCATGAATATATGCATGCGCTCCTTCCTGCATGCATAATTAACAGTCACATTCTTGCTTTGCATCCTAATACATTTTAATTATAAATTTTTTTTTCACATGGTAAAGAAAGAGGGAATGTTCATTGAAGGAGGCTAAGCGTCTCTCACCGAATGAAAATATTATTTTCGCGAATTTTCTTTTTCAAAATATTATCACTGACACAATCTGGCGACTGGCTAGGTTATGGAAAAAAGCACACAGAAGAAAATCTGGAAACTGGAATTTTTTTGTAGTCGCTAAATTTGAGGGCCGCAAGTTTATTAGCTTGTTAGCTATTATGTGTATTTTACCCTCTTGAAATAAAGATTTTACTTACTTACTTACTTCTAATTCAAAAATTTTTAGCTAGTATATTATAGTTCCGATCTGGTCACTTCTTTTGAATTTTTTTATTTTGCAAGAATACCTCCGATAGAAAATTGTTTACAGGCTAGATACTCTAAATTTTTATCATTTCCAATCATCTCATCTTAATTGGGTAATAATTTTTTTGACAATCTCGCTGCAGGAGAAATTGTAAACTGAAACATAGATAATAATATATCCACAGGTAGAAATTGAGCTTAAAATATCAAAATTGAATTTTTCATCTCTTCTTATTTTCTCATTTTTCTTGTCCCAGTGTGAATATTTCTAACAATATTGTCAAAGAAATATTTTCTAACATGAGATATCTAATCGTTTTCTCTATTTAGGCTGAATATATTTCACAGAATGTCCCGTTTAATATGCATATTTTTATCGCTAAAACATCTTTTAGCAATTCGTTAATGTTTTTTTTTTAATTGAGCATGTAGAAATGTTATGTTTTTCGGAAGAGTTTACTGCATTTGAAAGCAAACGTTTGTGGGTATTATATTAATCATATTTACAGGGTGTATTGAAAAAGCCAAATTAATATTTATGAATAAAAACGTTGAATACGTTGGCATATAATATTATACGCGGCAAAGCCTGCATGATGCACTACACATATTCTTAGACTGCGGAGACCAAATTAAGATATTTTGTCATTCGTGCTCAATTTTATCTCAATTTATTTTTCCTCACATGTGTTCTGTGTTCTATCATCACTTCGCTAGATCATTCATTTGTTGTTACAAAGCGAATTTCACCCAGGTTATGACGTCATGCATATAACTAGAATATGCTTATCCAAAATGGCGGATAGCGAATAATTTTATTCGAAAATATCTTGAGAGGTAGGTGATAAAGTTAACAAAAATCCGTAAACGAATTTTGAAAAATAATCACGACGTTGTTTTAAAACAGACAGAGATAGATAATTTCTATTGTCGTATGTATACCCTGAAGAGTTAAAATGGTTTTCTTTTTCCTAAATTAGTTCTTTGGATCGAAAAGTAAATGAAAGATTGAAGTTTATTATCTTCATTATTTCTCTTGTAATTCAAATAGACGCAGTTATACTTGTTGTTAGGTAAAATAAATAAAATGATATGGAGATAAAATAATTACTAGAGTTCCTCTCTATTTTCCTGGAGCATTTCTCCGTATCCCGTTGCCCTGGTTTGCTCAAGATGCTCTGGAATCGAGGAAAATTCTTCTAACGACATTTTACCATCCTTAATATCAATAGAAAGATCAGCGTCATTAGAAATTTAGGCCGAACAAGCGCATTTATGAAAATAAGAAAACTAGGCCAAGCAAGCGAAATCAATGAAGACTGAAAAGCTAGAATCACACGTCTATTCGAAACAAGGAATCTAAGTGCAAAGTATCGGTATCCGAGAAATCGGAAGACTATAGCTGCATAACCCATTTGAAGCCGCTTATAACCCATCGAAAGAGCATAGCTGCATAACCCAGCTGCATAACCCAGCTGCATAACCCAGCTGCATACTCAGGATTACGTCATTCAGTTATGCTACCAAACCCTCAAACTAAATAGCATGGGACTAAAATGAATCCCGTTGTTCGCGTTTTGACATGCAGGGAAATTCTGGCGCAATAAAAACCAAAATGCAAGCAGACTAGGCTTGAGATGGAGGTCATTGTTCAACCACAATTGGACTCACTTAAACAATGTACGGAATATGCAGTAAACCTCACGATTGAACTCATCTCACATACATGACAGGAATCAACCGGAGAGCAAAAGTACATGCATAAAAAAATCCACCAAACATTCATCAACAGCCACTGAAACACCTAAATTGCCAGGCATACACAAGCATGTGTTTCAGTTATACTTCCAAAATTTACTCACCTTGTTTTTATCTCCATGACTCATAATATGATCCACTTCGTGTTTTGACGTCGAATGATCTGGTGGAAACATCCAATCTTTTACCTCGTCCTATAGATTATTGTAAGATTTAAACATAAACGACTTCAAATAGAGAAGGTTAACCTCAGTAGCTGTAATACAGATTCCATTAGGGGCGATTCCCCGGTCACGCACGTTACATTGCTGTTTTTTCACATATTACGTGTATAACAAAAGAGAATAGCAGTGTCAAGTTGGTGACCAGAGAATCATGCATCCTGATCTGAGATCTTTCCGATTAGCGGAGTAGCTATGTAATTTATAGCTAGAAATTGAACTTGTACAACGTTTTACATTAATTATATGCTGCATTGTTAGCGAGGCATGCTTTTGAAGCAGGGTACTTTCATCTGCCCGAGATTTCGGAGAGCATCGAACTTTTGCGCATGCATGGCATCTGGAGGGCATATTAACCTCGCATAACTTTTGCAAATGATTTGGTTTGTTTCGTTAATTGCTTTTGTCAAAATGACAAAACATGACAAACTTCATACAGTTTTGAAAACCGACAAGATTTGCCGTTGCTTGCGGCAAGGGACAGTATAAACACACCTCTACTAACAGTCCATCCACGTTTTTATCATAACTTTTGAATTCTTTAACTTTAGCCACAAATTGATCACCAGATTCCATATCTAATATCCCTTCACCTATGAAAAAATGTCCCATACTTAAGACACGTATTACAGTCTAGAATAATTATGTGTTCTTATTTCCTTCTGTTTGACTTTCATTCCCTTCTTGCATGGAATGGTTTTAACGATTTCTATAGACGCATTTAACGTTTATTACAATGATGTGACTGTTAGCTAGGTTAACCGTACTTATATCATAAGTAACTCAGAAATATGTCTGTGATATATTGAGGAATATACATATATTACAGTCAGTATAAAGCTGTCCGCGCGCGTAAACAATGTAGTCGAAGACTGAGTCCTCGAAGACTGACTCCAAGACAGATTTCTGAACTACTAATGCTTATATGACATACAATATGCTCTTGATATACCTATATAATCTTTAATGTTAAGGGCTCCATCTCCATCCAGATCCATATTTTCAATTGTTTCCTAAAATACAAAATCACAGAAGAGTAAAGAAGTTTTGATTGCATGGATGCACTAACCTGAACCGGCTGAATATAAATCTAAGGGACCGCTCTGGACGAATCAAATATCACATGATCTTCCATATGAACATCATATGACATCCCCATGAAGATACGACAAAACAACTGTGTTTAAAAACATTCTGCAGCCCGAAAATTTGTTGCTGAAGTATACGACTGCAATGGCACTAGTTCATCCTTATGTGTGATCCAAGTAATTTATACTCTTTTCCCTGCATCTGAAATTAACTTTTCACTAGTAAATAGGAATATGGAAACTAACAGGAGAAGCTATAGTTTCCTTAATTCAAAGCTTAAAAGAGAAAATATGTCCTGGAAACGAGGTTGGACAAAATCCTTTATAACAATTTCAAAATATGTTGGACTAAAGCCTGGCGAGAATGCCAGCTGATGCAAGTTGCATGTCGCGCTTACTTTTAGCAGCCAATCCTCGTCAACTCACGTCGAATCTAAATGTCTCAAATATTCAAAGCTATACAGCTTGCAACAGCTCGCATAAACTGGAATTCCTACCCGGAAGCCCGTTTTCCCACTAGGTGAATTCATTCGCGCGACGCGAAGCCATATCTGAAATTCAGCGATGTGATTGGTTTGCGAATTCGCCGCGAAAAAGTAGAATCGCTCCCTTTTTTTCTGTTCGTGCGAATAAATTCGCCAAGTGGAGAACGGGGTTTAAACAGATTATGAAACTTACAAGTACGAGGCATTTTCTCATATGTTTCCCTTCTTCAGGATTAAGAAAGTAGAGAAATTCATGTATGCTTAAATGTCCATCTTTATTCAAATCTGCGTATTCAAATCTTCTTTTACCATGCATATATCTTGTTGTATTCCTGAAGTTCGTTGGCATGCCAGGAGTCCCTGAAAACGTTACATAATCAAGCTAAGTGATGATCATTGAGGTCAAAGGAAACTGATTTAATTAATACATACAGACTTCTTAAATTTTTCTATCGTGCAGATATCATGAAGATGTCATCAGTGCTCAATTTCCCACTCATCTGTGAAAATCCATGCACTCAACTTTCTATTGTGTTTAGTGTATCAATTAAGCCCCGGTGAAAAAAGGATGAGAGTTGATGAGAGTTGATGAGAGTTGATGAGAGTTGCAACTCTCGCTAGCGTTTGACTACGAACTCTCATGCACTAGCTCTCATGCATTCTCATCAACTCTCACAACTTTGAACTAATTTTCATGAGAGTTGATGAGAGTTCGGGCGCGTTTGATCGGTCATGAGAGTCGATGAGAGTTGCTAGCGGTTTGCTTTTTGTAGTAGCAGGCTCAGAAAAATAGTGCAAAACAAATAAAAATAATAGCTACAAATTAAACGCCGGTTTCTTAAACGGCGGATAAATCACTCTTACATCTCTCTTGAACGAGACAACTTGAATATTATGCACTGAATATGTGGTTGTAAACAGTATCTTTGTATTAAGGTTAAAAACGTTTTGCTTGCTTGTTGACTAAAACGATAGACTTGATTTCTAGTTTGAACTTAACCACCGGCCGTTTAAGCTAAACGGGCTTGATACAGCCTGACCCAGGTCATTAGGCCCGTTTCAGACGTCAAACCTTTCATCTGCTGAACCTAATGTTAATGAGCTGAAGTCTTTGTTTAAGTTTATTTGCATTCGGTTACGTTCAGCACATGAAATGATGAAAAGTTGGATGTCTGAAACGGGCTTTAATAATGTTAAACTAAATTTGTCATTTCATTGACATTTCGTGGATATTTTCTTACCAGCAGGGAAATGTGAAAGCTCGTATTCTCTGAATGACATCTTACTGTCGTTATTCAAATCAACGTCAGCAATGTAAGCCACGGCGTTCTTTAAAAGATATTTCATATGATTTTCCTGAACCCATTTTTGTAACTCTTCTTCGGTAAGGTAGCCATCTTTGTTCACATCAATTTTCTTCGCGATTTTTCTAAAAATGTAAAAATGACACCAAGTATTTACTTTTGTTTTCACTTTTGTTCACAACCCAAGCTAGACACGTTTATATAATCGTAATTCATCAACAATTGAATGCCGAGATCTCAACTCTTTAAAGCTATTTTTCGGTCCAAAGTTGACTCGCTTTTTCTTTTTACCTAGGCAGTGAAGAAACGCAATTTATGTTCATCGCTCGCTTCTGTCGCTTGCATCAGCCATTCCCTTTCTCTTCATATAAGGTGTTGAGAAATGCAAGGCCTGGTGGTTTCACGTTTTACAACTCTGCACTGTAAACGCGCGGTTCGGTCCTCGATAAAAGTGCGTGTTCTCAATCAAAATGATTCAATTTACTTTTGCAGCAAAGTCAGGCGTGATTTTTTTCTTTTGGTAGATGTTATACAGTGGAAAATGCTCAGATAATGTTATAGGAAACGCCATTTATTACATAAATTTATTCGTTCACATCAGTCAAAAGACGACCAGCGGATCTGAAACGCATATCTTATCGTTTACACGTGTGCCGTACGTGAGCATAAATATAATTCCGTTCTAGATTTGAAAAACCATAACAATGAAAATGGCTAGTTTAAATATCAAACATGACAAGATATCGGGTGAAAAGAGAAATCAGCCTTTGAATCATTGAAGTATGCATGAATAATATAAATATACTATTACTCACATCAATCGTTCGATTTTCTCGTCTCTCGTGAGTGCATCGTATCCATCTCCTTCTTCTTCTTCGCCAAGTAAAACATTCTTCTCGTATTCCCTATGTTCGTCTGTTTCATGTTCATGATCATGAGAGACGCCACCAGATTTGAAACCTCCATGACCATGGCCTTGATGGCTTTGTATTGATTGCAGACATGTCAATATAACAAACGCTACGCTTATCAATCTCGACGGCATTTGAAGTCGTTTGAATAACTAATATGGACAGAAATATGAACTAAATTAAAGTATCCTATAGTGGTCAGATTTTATTCCTCGCTTTTACCAACGGTTTGGCGGTCTTTAAAGCTGAAAAGTATATTAATAATGGTCGATATTTGAATAACCCGATAACAGACCGACAACTCGAACGAGCAGTACCGATGGGAAGTGTATTGCTTGTTAAGTGTTGTATTTCAGCAAGAAAATAAACACCTTGCATCCGCTTACCTCGACAGAAGTATATTTCAATGATTAACCGACTGCATGCTGTCGTTTTATATTTCATACGAACATTTGAAGTTGCCTATTTGCATCACAATATTTGTATGATTGTATCATTGTTTTAACCTAAACTAAAGACCGACTGTGTGTACGTAAGCTGTAGTCGGAACTGTGAGTATTTGAACATCTGTACCGGTTTATTGACTCTGAAGTGCACATAAGTTTGGCAAAATGAAGCCATCGCTTCAGCTGTAAACGTGTCGTGATTTCGTGTGCCTCTTGCTGCCAGTTAAACGGACAAGAACAGCGAATTAAAACACAAACCTTTCACCTTGTACTTAGTCATTGTTTAATTCAAAATTCATAAATATGAGGAAATTTCATGCAATATAAATATTCATACAACGCTCATGATTCATTCACAGAGTGTGAATCAGTGACATAATAATATATAAGCTCTGGCTACGGAAACTACAGTTTGTTTTAAGTTTTAACATAAAGTCAATCTATTATTATATATTCACTTGAATTAAGTGTTCCAAAAAAAATGCTTGCATGCATGTATATACAATTAATACTAAATCTGATGATAAAAATCCAATGACTTTTTCACAACTAGCATGTTTAACGCATGTTTAAATTTTTGTACCTTAGGAACAGATTGAAGCTATTAAATAAAGATTAGTATGCCTTAGGAGGATTTTACATCCGTACGTTTTAAGAAAATGTTAATGGTTAAGTCACTGAGGTATATAAGGCATGAGACGGTTCCCAGATTAGTGAGTAGTGACGCTTTGATGCGTGGGGTGTTTGAGGGTTAAGAGGGTGCAACAGGAAGTAAGGGGGTGTAACACGCCACACCACGCAAAATGAAATCAGTTTTTAAGAAACAAAATAATCGAAGCCTATTTAAATAGCATGAAGAATGTTTGTTGCATTTTTAAACTCTCAATCACATGGTGGTGTGAAATATCTTCGCTTCGAGCGAAAAAAACCTCGCGGACTGAAAACACGCGTAAAACGACTATTTGACAATAACGAAACTAAATTTCAATGTTAACTTCAATGTTACGACTAAATTTTATACCCAGTAAAAGAAATATTCATTTAAGAATACAAACCTATAGCTAATATAGGTCTGAGTCTGACTATTTTCCAGAAGCATGTTCATTTGTTTGCTTGTTTGAAAATGGCGACAGCTGTTGCACGCATGTATTTTTAGTTTACAATTAGATCAGTGCATGGTGGAAGCAGATTTATGGCTCAGTGTCATGGTTATATTATTTGGCAAACGTCCTTAACAGTGGGGCAGGGGATGTCAAAAAAATTATCTAAAGAGCTTCACGACGTATATTGTGACCCAACGCCAAAGTCTTCTAAATGTTTCGGAGCGATATAACGATGATTCTGAAATTGCAGACACATGCACTAAATGTTAAGAGGATGTTAGGTGTGTTTTAACCTAACGTATGTTATACCTTAGTAAGACCCCATTTACCCTCTACCGAATTCACATGTTCACAACATCAGTTTAAGTTGTTTTACAGTATCTCTGTCCCCAGATTGTATGTTTGCATGCAGGGGCGTAACTAGAACGATATATGGGGGGGGGGGAAATTCATATATCCCGCTCTGCCCATCGGATTTCTTTTGTAATTGCAATAGCTTACAATAGAAATCCGTCGGGCAGAACTGAATACATGAATATTCACCCCCCCCCCCCAATTATCGTTCTAGTTACGCCCCTGTTTGCATGGTGACATCAATAAGTAGATTAGCTTGTAGGTACACCACGCAAGTATTTAATACTGCAAAGCTTTCAGTCCACTAACCCGGCATCAGTGCAATTACCTGAAAACACATATTGTTAAAGCAATCATGCATGTTATCATATTTGTGGGGGTAAATTAAATCTGACTCTGAAATGGCTAATTTTAATGTCGTGGCAATGCGAATCCGGTATAGTGAAAACAAGGCGTAAGATTAGAGAGAATCAGTAATTAAGTTTAAGGAAGATTTCTCGCTTTAGACGTAAACATCGTTTATTGCCGTGGAACTTGTGAACTGGATTCTGCTTCTGCTGCTATTGCTGATGCTCAAACGATTCATAGAGTTGGTGGATCTTTTGTTTGAGGAAATCATATTCAGGAGTTGTTTCCCGACAGCTATAGAGGAATTTCTGTAAAGTGGCAATCTCCAGGCATAGATGATAGGATGTATGAACAATACGACGGCTATCACCGCTTGATAGTTAACCCAAAAGTTATAGAACGTTTTATTCGTTAGACATTTTATGCAATCTTTCATGGTGTACACCAGCACTATTGCATAAGGCGCCAATGCAGTAAAAAAGACTGTAGCGACAATCATGGCACTTACATTCATTTGTTGAGCTAGCCGAAGATCCTCCATTGCATGTTCCCGGTGAAGCGATGCGTTTAGAAGTCGTTTTCTGCGCAAATAGTTGTAATAGTTAAGCGGGTATAACACTGCAGTTATCACAGCCAGAATGGTAACGTCAGCGACATAAAGTTGGTGCAAGACGAATGTCTGGCCTTTTTTATTTAACTCCACATAATGTACCAGAGGACTTAAAATCAAGCCTGTAGCCCAAGCGGAGATGCAAATAAAGGCACGAATGTATTTATTACCAAATATAACTTGATATCTGTAGGGAGAGCTTATTGCGAGAAAACGATCAAAAGCCAGTAGAGCTATGAAGACAAATGAGTTCTGTAGGCCGATAGTTTGTATACAAGCGAATAGTTTATGGATATCGACGCATGAAAGGTCTTTTGCACACACAAATATGGCTGTGGTTTGTCCGAGTCCACCAATAGCCCCAACGATTTCAACCAATGCCAAATTAGCAATGATAAGCGAGGGAAAGTTGCGAAGTCGTTTTAATGGATCACGCCAAAGTACAAAGAGAAGCCAGTTGTTAATCAATACTGCCAAGCTGTACAGAATTAACTTCACAATATTCCGTGTTAGTTGATCATTTGTTTGATCAGTCATTGTCACATTATTTTCTGAAACGCAAATACATAAAAACAGTTTGTTAATCATCATTTATAAATTATAAGTTAGCGTATTTTAGACATTATGGATGTTTATAACAAATGGATCCAATAAAACTAAAGAAAATTCCCACCTAAATATCAATATCGTGAAAACCTGAGTTGCGTGTAAAAATTGGCCACCGGACAACCTGTTTTAAAGAGCCGGACTTATCTTATCTGCTTAATGCACTGGAAACGAAATATAAACAGATGACTGCTTAGTTATTCTTGTTTTATTGCATCGCGTAAACAATAGATTCATTGTCAGCTGTTCATCTCAAATGCTTGACGTCATTTGAACTTGGCCTTCGAAGTATACTGAAATATTAATTGTCATTCGTTTCGAAATAGATCATTCTTTTTCGCATTAAAACAGAGTCAGTGCAATATCGGTATAACGCTAATCATACTATATATAGTATCCTACCGCCGCAAATGCTGTAATTTGATTGGTTATATACCCTACTTGCTATGCATTCCTTGACAAGAAGGCCGAGGGGTGTGTAGCAAAAGAATAATTTTCGTGACGCGAATGTTGTTAATTCAATACTGCTCTGGATAATTCAGAAAACTACGCCAGAAATTTGCTCATGGGACATTTTCTCGAACATTGTTCAATCTATTATATATGCGGTCAACCATGTATGCGCTTGAAGTCACGTGTTGTGTTCTAACTGCGCAACTTAAAGGGTAATTAGAGCTGTTAGAGCTCGCGAGACAGTGTTTTCTTCCACTCCATTACTGCTCCTGAAATCTGGAGTGTTTCGAACATAAAAGGAGCCACCCAAAGGGGTGCAATTGATGCTCAAAGCCCACTCCTATTAGCCAATGAAATTGCAGAATTTGCTATTGATTACAGAAGATGTATAATTAATGAAATACAGTAACTTTACTTCACTCAACTAATCAGCATCCAGTAAGTTTATCAGGTTACAATAATAGTGCTTGCCATGTAATCATGCTTATAGAGTCGTTAAATTAAAAAATATAATCGATTTCAAATTCGATTCAGATTCGACTTTTGTGTGCCACAGTGCAAGTAACTGGTATAAAAACTAAGAACATGACCTAAAAATGAGCAATACAACGGCCGAGGTCAAACGTCGCTCCTTTCATGCACCGAACCTAAGGCTTTTATAAACTTTTCTTGTTTAATTTTGTGTGTATGGATGTGTACAAACGTATCCCTAGTGCTGTAATTTCGCTCGGAAATTGCATTTGCAACCACGAAATGAGCGATTGTACCTCACCTTTAAGGTGTACTAAAATTAAAAATGCTCGAAATATAAACACCTTAAAGCTAAAATGGTAATTTGTATTTCAATTGGATTTCCTTGTAAGGTTGCCGAGAAATAACGAAAACTGCCGAGTGTGACGTAAGCAGCGTGTGACGTGTAAGCAGCGTGTGACGTAAACAGCGTGTGACGTAATGGTCCAAAGACAAACATTTGAGAACGCTAGCAATGAAGCAATGAAGCAAACTCCAGCGGGTATAATTATAAAGTGCTACGTGTGGTCTCAAAAATAACTATCCGCTAGATATCGCTATTGGATCTCAGTATAACAGACCCTTAGACCGGTTCTCACCCATTCATCCTAAAAAAAAACAAAAACTCGCAAGGGCGCTGCGAGTAATTTTGTCCAATCACAATGCATGACAGTTTATTGTAATTAGATGCAAACCCTCGCAGCGCTCGTCGCAAGTTGATTTTGTGATCGGTGGAAGAGCCTTTATATTTGTCGACTACTTCCATTTCGGTCATTCCCGAGGCCCTTTTTGAATGCAATTACGCTGCTACCCAGTACTCCGCTCTGATCGCGAACAATAATCGCTGAAACAAGGAAAGTTATGGACGAACTATGCGTAGCCGTCAGCCTGTCAACATGCACGTAGTCTATGTTAACGGTGCGTCACATTCGCACTTTCGAGAACGGCGGAAATTTCTGGCGTGGATTATTCATTCTAAATTTATCTTCATTGAATGTTTATGCGTGGTAATTGAATGTTTCTTATGGAATCAGTCGCCAAAAACAATTTTTGTTATGTAGCCCTCCTATCCCGTCTGAATTTACTCAGTTGCACACATGACGCATATAATTATTGTGAGTAACATGCTCACCAATCTAAAAGTAGCATACATTAGCTTCTGTTTTATCTGACTGAATATTTTTTTCTCTCATTAGGTAAAAAATATTAAGGGCAAAATATTTTGTGTTTTGCCACTTCGTTCTTCATTCGGTCAGGCACACATGCCAAGATCACGAACGATGTAAGCCTTCATTGTGTGTGTATATTAGATATATTATATAATTATTAGCTTTACGTTATAGCTAATGCTTCACAATATATTTATAACATATTACCTATACAACAACCTTTCTCGTGAGAACGAATATTCAAAGACGACAAATTTCCAGCAACGTACGGCAAACTTTTAGAATTTTAAGGTGAAATTAGGCTGCAAATAGTTATATAATTGATGTGTCTGAATGATTGCTGAAAATTGCCGTAATTTCTAAAAACAAGATTCGAAAAATTGAAAGTACCTGAAGAGTAGCGGAGATTTGTTATTATACGGGAAGAAAGAAAGAAAGCATTAGTTTATTAATCATGCGGATATAGTGTATGTGACTGATAGTGGTCGTGGATTTTTATACCGGAAGTAATCTTGACTTGGAAATTTTCTTCCGGTCTCTTAAACCGGCCAACGCTTCTCAAATATGTCACTATATCCTCTGCTTGTGTGCGTGAGCAACTTTGGGGCCCGAAAATTTTCCTTTGACAAAACGCCGAAGTTAATAGGGAATTTGTGAGAAAGTTCTTACAGCAGATGGCAGATGCATGCATTCAGATCAAAGCTTGAATGCTAATTTTTCATATCGAATTTAGCTGTTTATGTCAATAGGAGCTTATATATATAGGGACAAATTACTAGGACGACGCAAAAGTTGGGGTTGACGCAAAAGTGTTTTAAAATGATAGGAAGATGCCACGAGGCATAGCAATTTGTTAATGAATCTTCGGACACGAAAACATCGAGAATAGAAGATAATGGATATCAATGTCCCCTTCATGGAGAAATACTGAGTTTCTATTTTAATAACCATGTATTGTGATGGTTAAACTCACTTTTACAACTTCAACGAAAGCTTCCCTACATACTATAATAATGCATCAGTGCTCAGAAACATTTTGATATCGTAATTTACACTAAAATCCTGTTTCTACTGATGCAGATTAAAACCTTGATTTCAAAATTACAGGTCTAATAAGCCTTATTTTTCATTATCATTCTATATATACTTGTAATAAATGGATATATTATATTAACTCGAGATGCCGTAGTAAATGTCTAACTAAAGCATATCTTTATTATTCACCCTGATTTGCAGCATTTAAGTCCCTTGCTTACAATATGACAATATTCATTCATTACCCGTGGGCTGATCATGAATCACCATTATTAAGGTGAAATTAGAGGGCAAAACAGAATTTTTATAATTCACTTTGAGAACACGTACGTGTATTGTGTCTAAAACAATTTGCGAGCATTTATTTTCCTTTAAAGGTGTTCTTTACCTCATATAGAATGATTGATAAAGAAAAGGATAGTTTTCTTACCTGTCTTAGTCGAATAATAAACGCATGGATGTGGTGAATTTACAGCACTAACGCACGTCTAGAACTTTCGTGCGAACGGACGTCTGATTAAAATACGTAGCTATATACATATTGAAAATTAAAACATGTGCGTACTTAAGGTATTAACATAATTTAAAAATAGTAATAAAAAAGTGACAATATGCCTCTTATTGCTCAGAAACCATAAGAGCAATTTTTCATATCACTCACAATATGTCATTTAGTAGTCGCTGATTCACCGGATAATCCATCAGCCATACGACGGGCCGGGAGTCGAAGTAATTTAAACAATGACAGAAAACTAGTCTACTGACAATTACGTTTTCCCGACAAATTACAAAAAGCAGAAAATATCAATAGCGGCATATGGACGTTTAATTAAAACATGCAATTTAAAATGGAACTTTCCGCGGTTTTAATATTTAAATAAATTACACAATTTTTCGGTTAATTTGCATGTTAAGGAATACTTTATTTATTTTTAAAATGTACCTTAATGCATTTTGCTCCACGTCGTTTCGTATGAAACAACGATTTAAATTCTCATCAAACACCGTCTTGTAATTTCTCTGATGGAAAATACTGTAAAATTATAATGCAGATATTAGCGCCGTGGCTTATACATACTAATTTTTAGATTTTAGACCAATTACAGACCGCATGTCGTTATGCATAAGCGACTAAGTCTATCGCGCCATATGTGTTGTCTTTTTAACACAACCAAGATAAGAGTCTTAACTCATTTTTTTATGTGTTGCCTACATAAACGCAATAATTATGCGCAAGCCCTAATTTAAGATGACCACATTTGTTGGCACAAATGCGTATATTTCGACTCGCATCGCAGGTTTATATAGTAGCCAGTCTGCCAGTGATGTCTATATATAGACTATTTAACAAAACTGGAATGATAACTTGTGTTAGACAATCCACACTCTCCCGAAGCGAAAATGTTTTTCCATCCTTATAATGTAATAGCTAAAATATTTTATCTGATATGCATTCGGCCGCGTATACAATTAAATTAAAGCGATTGAAAAATTATAGCATATTCATTAAAATGCAAAAATGACTTCTTTTCGGCATAATTTACTTTGCATACAATAGAAGTACACCTGTCATTCATCGGTGCTAAAGGTGCAGCACAAATTTGTGCTGGAAGTTCAGAAATACAATAAATAGGCACTGTCTTCTTTCTTTTTGATAAGATCCAAATATTTTAGCTCTAAAAATGATTGAAACGAAGCTCAAAACTCTACTCAGACTGCTACAAACAAACGATTTACAAACGCAAAGCAGAGAGTCTGTTGAAAGACGAAATTCAAAATCATTTTAGGTAAGCTACTTTAACCTTCATTTCTCAGTCTCTTTTCTTTCTTTTATTTTCCTCATGTCTTTATTTATCTTCTCTCTCAGTTCAAACCCCGCTCTGCGTTACTTAATCCTAATTCGCTACTGTCCACAAAAATAGCTATCACCACGTGAGTAAACATCCCATGATGCAGGCTAAACCACGTATACAACCCATTAAGAGGCCGTTGAATTAAGGCGCCTGAAGACATATGGATTACGAAAACCTTATGCGATATAATCCCCATTGATGTAACGTGCGTGTGCTTGTCCATTTCACAAAGACTTCATTTGAAAAACGCGATAGTGATTTACAATAAAAGAATCAATGCATGAAAAAGTAATCAAAACTTTCCCTTTGTGGCAATATTGGTTTTATTATGATTTTATTAAACCCGGATATGATAATAAAATTGAAATTAATTAAAATGAAATGATAACTTCAGTGTTGTATATATGGCTTTTGATGTCGTGGTTGTTCTGCCTGTTTTGATCATGTGTTTTGATCATATGAGTTTTGCCTTGTTGAGTCCAGTCCGACTGATTTCAAGTTGCTTACGATATTCTCCAGTTCGGTATATGCACGCTTTTTAACAATCAAATTGCTCCGTTTGAGGTCCAGTTTTTCCTCTTCTGGGCCACCGGGCTGACCAACGGCTAGCCAATCAACGTTCTAGGTTAGAAGTATGAGTTAGCCTTACTATTATGCATGTCCCAGCACTAAAATTCTGTTTTTTGAAATTGTTGTCAACTACTTTGGCGTTCTGCTAATTCGATAAATACTTTAAAAACGATGGCAGCTTAATATACTCAATGTAATCTTGTGGTAAAATCTTCAAAATGTTCATCTATCTCATCTTACCATTTAAAATAAATTTATCAATAATTTTACAGCACGTTTGTGGCATATTTCTTCAAGTGCTCATATACAAAATATCCATATCAATGATTGGCACGATATATATCCTAGAGCATGCTTGTTTTTAAGATAAATGTAGGGGCTTAGCCTGGTTTTTGACGTATGTAAATATTGATGTCCGAAACGCGTTTGGCAGAAAATTATGCCGTCCTAGGCAAACAATACACATTTTCACTTGAATGTGAAAAAGTAATTAAATACGTTTGCGGTCAGAATTTTTTATTACTTACGCGTGGTTGTTACAAGCTTTAAGTGACATATTGCCTTGGAATATACCATTTCCAAATATTCAAGCCGGTAAACCTTCATTTTTTAAGTTTTAAAGACAGCAAATACGGAATAAACGATGACACCCTCTTGTCTAAAACCGCTTTTCTTTCATCACGTATCCGTATTTTATTGTTTGCTGACGTTTTCGATGAAATACAACTTTCCGCCTCAGCCAAGAGCGTCGCCGATTCGCCGAACGTCGCCAAGTCGCCGATTACCAGTCTTTTCTCGTTCAAATTTCACGCATGCCTATAAGTAACAAAACTAACCAACGTCCATGACATAGGATTTTGGTAATTTTAGATTCCGCTATGTTCTGTCACAATACCCGGGTGTAATTCTAAATCTCCGAGCGGAATTTGTGCCCTCGCACGGCGCTTCGCACCAGCTCCGGGGACTATATTTAGCATAATTCATTTGCATTAAGCTTTTTGTGACGTAAGGCCTTAAGTGCTCGTGCACAATATGCATACAAGTGATTGACACGATAGCCTGAGCTATTTTGATGTTTAGGAAAAAAAACAATTATTTGTTCAATTATTTGATATTAGTCATGTGAGTGTAAATTCTTGTCACACGTTCTATTTCAATATTACGACAAAATATCTATTGATCAGAAGTATAACTAGAGATTATTTTTGGGTCCTCAAATTTTCCCAAATAGACACGTCATGCACACGCCACGGCACTTGCTACATTGAATATCATGCAATATCATGAAATAAACACTCACTTACCAGCAAGATGGCTGCCTTGAGACATTTTTATTACTGAGATGGATATCTATGATATAGCTAACAACAGATACCAACAAGATTGTATGGAGTTCCTTAAATCAGTTTCTATCTTCGCTAGTGAGAATTAGTTCATTAATTGAATTAAGAATAAGAAAGCAGAATTTCAATTGGTTTAACTATTCCATGAAATACAAAATAAAAGAAAAGGAATTCAATACGAAGTATAATCATATCGTCATTTTCAGTTCAAACTAGATTGAAGTTCCATTAGGAATACGTTCAGGAAGAAGATAGGTGTATGGAAGCTTTAAATTTGCGTTTCGCTCCTTAATTTTCTTGGAAATATCTTCAAGTTTGTCTTGGAAACGGTTGATAGCATCAAGGGCTTCCTGGTCTTCCCATGCTGTGGCACTGTAATTTCCCAAATAACGCTAAAAAGGAGAAAACTGTAAATGCATACTGAACGACAACACCTATCGATCATCCGTAACTAATTTATTCGTTCACATCTCTGAAAATACGAAAATCGCAATATTTCATTCGTTTATGTTGAATGAAAACACAATGGAGAAATGCTGAAATATGCTGACGTTAAATAAAAATGTTGGTTTCATATTAAAACTAACTTAAGTATTATGCGAGCTATTATTACTCGGGATTCATTGCTCTTATGAAAATTATCTACCACTTACCTCATCTTCAAAGAATTTTGTTAAAATATAAACAGTTGCAATGGCTTTGGCTGCTTGAGATTTGTTCGGCAAAGTTGACAGAATTGACTCAATTGTCGCTTCGCCCTTTTTCTTTGGTGGTGGTTGTCGAAGAATAGCTGGGGCGTTTGGAGTGAATCCGTAATGATCTTTCTGACTGAAGTTGACAGCAGCATGTTGGCAGGAAAATGTGAAAATAACTGAGGTGAGGATTTCGATCAATTGTTCAGCACTTTCAAACGATGCTGGAACACCGTGATCTTTATGACCTGGATTAACACGCCAACCATTCTTATGAACATCAAAGATCCAACTCTGAATCTCGTTATCTTTTTTCACGTCATCATCGTTCTTGTAGTAAATACCAATGATATCACCAACGAAATTTTTAATGGCTTCCCACAATGCAAGGCCATCGTCTCGATAATAAAATCCTGGTAGTTTTGAGGGATCATCGACGCCACGTTTCTTCAATGTTTGTGGAAGATTGTAATCTTGAAGATTAACCTTAAAATAATTGATCGAAATCTATTTAATATATTTTTAGCTTATTTATTTGCATCACGCGATGAAAGTGTACTTTAAAATTAAGTAGTTATACAACTAAGATGATGGAAATGTTTATATCAATGTATTATGAAGTATATATTTTTTTGGAAATAAAAAACGAATCGTGTGCATGCATGTACAGCTGGACTACAACAAATTTCAATTATCTGATAAATAATTAAATTCTCTGTACACGTTATTTATGATGTTGCTTAGCAACAAAGACAGCTCGGTTGGCTTTCAGCATTTTACTGTAAGAAATTTATCTGAAATCTTCCTGAAATTTTTGCAAACCTTTCTTCGCCGGCATTAGAGCTTTGCTTTTTAAAACTAGACTATGTAATTTAGTGTTTTATGTTCAAACTTGTTTTGTGAAATTTGGACTTTTAGGCAGGAGAATTTTAAGAAATGGCATCACAATGCACGCCCGTTCGTCAATGAAATATCACCTAATTCCCAAACGATTTTAAACACGATATTTCTTGAAAATATAGTACTGACTTCTTTAAAGCACTTCTCCATAAATGCTACATGACCACCACCTCCTAAAGACAAATACTGATCAACAATTCCATCTGAGTTAATCAATTCTTTACGAGCAATGGTATCAATTGCAAGAACGCCATAGATGTGAGGTTGCAACAATTTAAACACTGGATGAGGTGAAGCAAGGTTTCGCCAGGTTGATAAGGCAAATGATTCCGTAGTAAAGTGAGTTCGCAACAAATGAGAATTGAGCTAAAATTAAAAAAAAACGATGGAAGTTTGCCAAGGCCTTTAATTTTAAGACAAAATGTAGCATCACATTGCTATTTTGGATTTACCATTTTACTTTCTTGGTTTTTGAGGGTTTTTTACCTGAATATATTTCTAGTTTGGTAGATACCTGATGGAAATTTGATTCAGCCACACCCAGCCAGAATTTTGCGAGCATCCAGTCATGTTCATTTTCTTCATGCGGTGTCCATATTGGATTCTCAGGACCAGGTTCTTGGTTGATTTGTATAGCAATTGGCATAAGATGTCCCAGCTTATTAACATAAAACAGCGCGAGAGGAGCAGCACAGTAACGAACATCAGCATTCTCATGATTGATATTATCAGGAACTTTGTATCCCATGTCTTCAAGAATTGGACCACCATAACACTTTGCACCTACCAGTACCTTGAAGTCAACGATGTAGACATGTCCATCCTGCAAGAAATAGATCTAGGAATTCACATTTACAAGTTAGGTTTATGTATTGATAAGTCAGTGAAACTACTTAATCAGGTTCTTTTAATTATTTATTTTTAAAACTTTTATGAAACAAGGGACACTCTGCCGAAAGAAAATAGTTTAACTGGAAAAAATCGTCACGGTTCAATTATTCTTCGTTGTTATACGGCTTTATAGACACCCTTCACCTTCATTTCATCTTCCAATGACTTTCCTCTATCCAACGAGGCTTTCACATCATCATTAGTCACCGGAAAATTCTCAGGAAGTGCGTCGCAACGAATTAGTGTCACAGGATTAGCTCCATTGAGGAATCGGTAACCAAACCAGCGATCTTCATTCCATTTATCCGCCATGTTGGGTGTGTCACCAAGGATCCAGTTACGGTATAAGATACGATAATCGTCAAATGAATCCCAGTCTTCAAACAATGTGAACAGCTTCCCGATTCCGAGGTTGACGAGAGCTGCTTTTCTGCTTTCCTGGTAGGATCTGGAAGAAGTAAGAGATTCGTCGGTGATTACCTTCTAATCTGGTAGATTTACTACTTTACTGATCAAAAGAATTAGAGCAACCTTTTCTGGTCGTTACAAAAAAGCATGGTCATCCATATTTTAAACAGGTTAAAACAATTTCAACGACTATAATTCGTATATTAGAAAGCGTGATATTATACACTCTCTAGCCGCTTTAGGAACTACATTTGTCAATCCAAAGCATATTTATGGCGAAATGCAAACAGGTGCCATTTACTACCACTTTTTTAAAATTCAATTACGACCGTATGAACTATCCTCGTCCCCGGGGCCTTGCTGATAAGTACTGTATCACTGTACTGGCAATATTTTGTCATTTAGTATTTTTTAATTAGCATTTTGAAGACAAAGGAGCATTTTTTAAAGATGAGGTAAAATCCTTTGATACTGATATCTTATTTTTTGGGTTTTCATGATACATTTTTCTCAGATATTGAATTAAAATACCTGGTCTTTTCATCAGTAAATTGAACATCTCGTGGGAGGTCGTCATGTGTTTTAGCCTTAATATTTCCAGGCATATCATCAGAGACGTAATCCCACTGGTATGTGACTTTGCGTTCTTCAAGTTCCTTCTGTCGATGTTCACTCACTATGGCTGGTACTTTATGGAATGGTAGAGTTGCTGGAAATCGAAAGTCATTTAAATCAAAACATGCCTCTTAACAACCTCAAGTTGAATTGAGGACCTATATAGCAATCCATTGATAAAATATACGTTTGCAGCATGTTTTGGAGATCAAAATTTTGGCGAAATTTTGGACACCATTTAGTAAATTTAATTAACCGAACGTCAGGTTTTCAAAGTTATGAGAATGTTCTCCGACGAAGCCCATTCTGTACAGAGTAAACGTTATAGAGCGAGAGCGAAAAGAGGGTGGTTCGATATTTTTCGGTAAGGAATGACGAAAAAAGGTTTATAAAAAGTTTATTAAAAAGCGCCCATAAGGCATGTTTTTCCACTTCATCCTTTCAAATTAGTTGCTAAGCTTTTTTTAATAAGTTGGTAAAGACACAATGAACGTGTTTCATTATTACCTTCACCAGGAAATAGTACCATATCCTTGAATATCCATTTGAAGCATGGGAAAGAGTAGACACGATCTTGAGTGGAGCTCAAAACAATCACCTGTTTTGGTGGAATATTTATTATTTTGAGAAAATGCGTCTTCGTTTTGACTTTTGGAAAAGTCAATGTCATGTGGAAATTACAAAAGGTCGACAAAAAAGTGAAGACTTTGGGGAATTTTTGCTACGCTATACTCTAAACCAAAACACCCTTTATCCGGCCACTTACCCTGTTTACAAACCAGTCTGGATCACCTGACCAGTATCCTCCTCCATCAGAATGAAGTTCAATGAGTTGAATGTCACCGACATCGAAACCTTCCACTTGGTATTGCTCTTTGCTTCCTGCTTCGAAGTCATTATGGAACCATTTGTCCAGCTTCAGGTAATCTGTACGACCTTTGACACCTGCAAATAATCGCGTGGGTTATATTGTTGGCTTTTCAAACTCTTTTCTAGACACTAAACATTACCAAGCTAGGTGCTGAAGATTAGACAAAATATGAGTAGTAAGCACTAGAATAATTTTACCTGTTATTCTGATGGTGATAGTCGCATCCGTCCCGGCATGCTCCCTGTCTCCTGTTTCAACCTCGATATTGTAGACGGCGTTCTGTTCAGCTGGAATCACAGATCCAAATTTCAGTTTACGAAGTTGCTGGACGCGAGAGTATACAGCAACTCGATAGTGTCCGATACTGTTGTAATCTTCAGGTGATTTAGCCTCGAGTAATCCTAACGAATCAGGTTGGTGAACGATACTGAAACCAGTTCTAAATTCAAAAAAATAAATAGGAATTGAAATCTATCTCATAAAGAGGTGTACAATACGTAATCTAAACAAATTCTGCATGTATTGTATCAAGTTTGGAAAAGTTTATTCTATAACGCATAACAATTTGTTCCTAATAAAATTCAGCTTCTGTTATCAAAAGTACGACGAGAAGGCGGGGTCCTTATTAAAAGCTTAATTGGGGGGAGGGAGCTGGCGTTAATATTTATTTATTCTTTTTCATATACACTTGAAACAATCTTCTCAGTAAAAGGTAACTTCTAGAGCCCACCATTATTGTTGTTATGTTGTCAAAGAAACATTGAAAAAATTGGAAGTATTTTTTCCTGTCTGGTATCCACGTTATTATTAGCCCGTCAAATTGCTTTGTTCCGGGTCTGTTTTTCACTCTCAATGAAATCCAAAATATTAGCGTAGGGGGACAAATCGTCAGGCTGGCTACGCTAATTGAGCCCTTCAAACACCTCTCGTAGCGAAAGTTTTTTTCATTTTTTTGCTAGAAACGTGCTTTAGGCATGCAGCAAAACGTTGTCTGAATCCTTAGTAATTTATAAAACATCTTCCACATTTAAGTTAAACTGCAATTTTTTATTCACCCATTTTGGTGCTCAAAGCGTTTATGTTAATTTTGATTGCTAAAAACACTTTTTTTCTTGCAAAATATTCTACAAGCTCTCTGTACAGGAGTTTCGATGCCTCAAACTATACATACACACGCCAAGAGATTTCTCTAACGATGCCTGCGCGTATACCTAAACTTTTTATACACACTGTTTTTTCTTTTCTACCAATCAAATAGGTTGAACTCAACGATGTGCTAAACGCTGATAAATATTGGAAACAACTACACTAAAAATTGAGATATCGAACCTTTCCAGGACATCTGGTGACAATGGTGTCTTGATTGAGACCGTAGCAAGGTCAAACCATGGGTGTGTTTCCTTATCCCACATTATACCAGCGTGGAAGATGGTTGCAGTGTCATTTGGAGATGCTTCATGTATTTGAATTTGCAAGCGATAATTTACTGGGCCTTTAGAAAGACGATTGACGTACTCTTGGCGTAAATAGTCGGTTGGTCGTTTCTCATCAGCATGGCGACTGAAAATCCTTGAGAACAGAAAAAAACAAGTTGTAGAAATAATGGAATTATAGTGGTGTAGCATTGAACGGTTGGCTAACAACGAGGATCCTATTTTTTATTATAGCTATGTGTATGGAGTTTTATGCACTGCAGAATGATGAAATAAAAATCGTTCTTCACTGGGTAAATTAATTGTAATGACATTTGGCTTGATGTACGATTTTTTTTTTCACGTTTGAAAAAATGTCATACATGTCTTTAGATTGGACGTGCGATATTCTTCACATGTGAAAAATTGTCGTATGTCATTTTGGCGGCAATTTGTTTACATTTTTTTTAAGATGCCGTCGAAACTTAATTATAGGAGTGAGTGTCAAAACATAATTCTGAAATTCAACACATTTTCATATTCAGCACATTGTCAAATATTTCGGAAAGAATATCTAAATTCTATTGAACAAAATTCCAAAGAAACTTAACTGTAATAAATATGTTTTGATGCGTAAAATTTTGGTTTTTGTTGCTCACTGTGGTTTTTGTATAATAAAAGCGTTTTATTATGAACGAGTTGTGGCGGAAAACAAAGTCATTCGTTCGTTTTGCAATCCTTCACAACTCGTGCATAAATCGACTCGTACGATCTATCTTTAGCAACCTTTTTCGGTGAAGTCCAATATCACAGGCGAACAAATTAATAGAAGTGCAGTATTCACCAAATTTTTCTTTGTTCTTCCTCTGTCAATCTTCCACTCTCATCTTCTTCTTTGATATCAACATCTCCAGGAAGAGCACGATATCTGCAATAACGAACTTTACCATCCTTTGCTTTAAAATGCATCGTAACTTGAGAATAGTAGTAGAGATGAGCAAAGGTATCAGGAGCTCGTCTCAGGGCCTCGACCAGGTAGTAATAACTAAAACATTAATTATATTCCTTCACTGACAAGTGGAAGGAGTTGGATTTTTATATTTACACTTTGTTAAAATTTGGGTCAAATAAACATTAGTATTTAAGAAAACATGTTCACAATACACCGTAATAAAAGGATTTTTATCACCATGAATTGTGAGAAATTGTTGGAAATGTAAATGAGGTCTTTTAAAGATAGGCATATTAACAGAGTGAAAACAGGTTGTTTTTCTCTCGTTCTGTTAGGTTTCAGGTGCTATTTCAGGGGTATATTCAGTGTTATCTCATCCTTTTACACCCATCTGTGCTTTATGATCGCAAAGCATTGAGGTAAAATATGTACAGAACTGATTTGATTTATGTCCAATTGCACTTTGTAAAAAACTACGTGCTTGGATTAATTACTTCACCCTCGAGGCTGCATGCTGGGTTATTAATTCCGCCCGGAGGTTAGAAATTACATCCGGAATCCCCATTGCAATTGTTGATATATCGCTAGGTCATAATGAACTTACTAGTAAGGATTCTTGTAAGCATATTCTTTACCGGATTCACCTTCTTTCATAGGAACAAAATCCTCAAAACTCGAAGCGTTCCAAAATATATTAGCTTCACCAGTGTTCATAACTATATCCATTGGACTCTCACTATCACTGTCAGCAAACTTGATCGAGAATGATCTAGCATCAGCACTAGCATCATCCATGTACTTGCTGTTTGCATGACGTAATCTTGCAGGGAATTTTCGACCTGGAGTGAATGGGACGTTTTTGTGCGTAAGAAAACATTTTACGTGTAGAATAATACTTATAGCAAAGTTATTACAATCCTATTCAATTCGATATATTCACTTTTTCCTTGTTTTTTAAGCGTACAGCTTTTGAAATTATAATTAAATGATCTTTGAAATTATAGATTGCTTCTGTAATGACTAATAAAACTACGATAATATTGATGGTCCAAAATTCAAATCAGAATCTTCACCATCCAAACAATTATTTATGTAGTTGCACAAATCAACGAACACTAACCAGCTCTAAAGAATTCGTGTTCAGGAAATCTCGGATCATCAACGATTTTTATTTCTCCAATTCCGCCAGTACCAACAGTGTGGGTACTTCTGCTAAATCCCCTTAAGGTAGTGGCAAGGGTGAATAAGGTCTTGAATTTTTCTGTCTTTAATTTCAATTTAAGACCGCCGAATACAGGAGAATCTGATGGTGGCTAAATTGTAAGAAATTGAATTTTCTAAACTGAAATAGAATTATCAATACTCATTATCTATGGGACGAAATGTAACTCTAACGATAATTAGTTATAGCATAATGATTATGATAAATATTTCATAATTATATGATAATTATATAACCAGTGAGCAGCGCATGGCAGCGTCTTTAAACAATTTAACATCAAATGTGGTATAACAACTGCCTAAAATAAACAAAAACACTTCTCGACGTCTCGACCTGAGGGTCGACGTCTTTGTCAAGAGGAATGAAACCAGCTCAAAAGAGTTCGTGGGCCTTACTGACGAAGGCCCTCAGGTCGAAACGTCGAGAAGTGTTTTTGTCTATTTTAGGCAGTTGGTATACCGCAGTCATTTCATGCTAAGTTTTTATGATAATTATATGTTAATTATTGTGCGAAGTGGAGCCGAGAATAAATATAGACGACTTCGACAGCGTTCAATGCATGAGTAAAGCATGGCGAAGATATGAAAAATGAAAAAGTGCTTCTATGAAAAACAATGAAAAAGGTGCTATTTCAAAGTGCTACTACAACGAAATTTTTGACCCTATTTTTATCAGCCTAAAAATATTCAGTCTTTTATACAAACAATTTGATGTATATATGACTTTGGTACGTTAAATAGAAGTTGACTAATTTTGTCCTCAAACTTCGGTATCAGATGTGAACTTTTATAGCCGCCATGTTTGCTGCATGTGACGTCATAATGAGTACCTATGGTAATATATATATATATATATATATATATATATATATATATATATATATATATATATATATATATATATATATATATATATATAGCATGTGTGTTGTCAGCTTTGAATTTTCGAGCTTGAGGCCAAGAACCAAATCATTTTATTTTGAAATGGAAGTTAATTCTTTTAACTAACATATATTCAAGGAATGCCTGGAAAAGGGTTTGAAAATTTACGCCGGTTTGTTAGAAAATTCGGGTTAATCTAAAAGCCCGTCTGACAGCGATACTGAATTACTACAGTGTCAATGAACCACATATGAACCCACTATATGGGTGTTCACATTGGTCTTATTCAATATACTAGTAAAATTGTCAGTGAATACTGTAGAAAGGAAACTTTGCTACGAAACGTAAAAGAACTACTTAGTCTTTCAGTAAAAGAAGACGAAGACAATGGTATGTCCTTGTTAATGATGATATTGCATGATGTATACTATGGGATATATTCCTGCAAACCATATACCACTGTTTTGCAATCGCGTATTGAAATAAAAGAATTAATTTCCATTTCAAAATAAAATGATTTGGTTCTTGGCCTCAAGCTCAAAAATTCGAAGCTGACAACACACAAGCTATATATATTACCATAGACACTCGTTATGACGTCACATGCAGCAAATATGGCGGCTATAAAAGTTCGCATCTGATACCGAAGTTTGAGGACATACAAAATTAGTCAACTTCTATTTAACCTACCAAAGTCATATATACATCAAATTGTTTCTAGAAGACTGAGTTCTTTTTTAATCAAATAAGAATAGGGGGGGAAATTTTGTTGCAGTGACACAATAAATACTCACAACCATACCGTGTGTTCATCTTTCACTCGCTTCTCAAGCTCCTCTTTACCAAATTTCTCGGCGAATATCTCAAATCCAATATTTTTCCCTAGATTAATAGTGAAACACTCATATATTATCATCCAAATCAATCGCAAACAATAAGGAATTCGAAATATCTAGTATCGCACTAGTATTGCATGCAGTCACGTTTAAACTGATTATTTCGTCTTCTATTATTACATACGAATACAGCCAGTGATAAAAATGCAGTTGATAGCATATAATTTAATGATACAATCTAACGCTTTTCGGACACAGGTTAAAGTCAAACACATGTCGCTTGTAAGCAAACGGATGTCAGATACTGACTTCATAGGGAGAATATAGAATGTTGTGATTGATAATTTGATACATACAAACCATGGTGTGCATATATAGCTGTTTCCTCAGTTCCTGCAAAAATAACAATTAATCGTTATCAGTTATTATATGTGCCGTGGCTCTGGTAGCGTGAAAAACAATTCTCAACGAAGTAGATAAATGCACTACTGAGATTTGTACACAAAGGAAATCGAATTACCAATCAAGTACCAGAGAGGATAATTGGGGGGAGGGGGGCGTCGCACATATTCATTTATTCATGTTGGGCAAGATTAATTTCTTTTCAAATCCACTGTCTTTGCACGTCTGTACGAATATGTGCCCCCCCCCCCCCGCACGCCACTGCGAATCATTTATCTTATACTAAATGCCAAGTGCGGGTCAAATCCACTTGACGCTGCTTATTGTGAGCTTTTTCGCCTAACAGCATATACAAACAATTTGTTAAAATGTTCGCAAGATTAATCGCTAGAATATCGCTATCCTTGTAAGGCAAAACGCGATTGATGTGTACTTTCGGATTGTAACTCATACACAAAATAGGGTGAGCAACTGCAAGATATACCGGTTGATTCATTTCAAAATCGTATCTAATAAAGTACCGAACAATTGCGAAAATGCGAAACGAAAATCGTTGTTGTCTTTGTATTTGATCACTGCGCAATTTCTTTTTTTCAAGCGTTAATTTGTACGTCAAACCACAAGTAATCGATTTGCGCTTATTTGAACCCTATTAAACGCCCAAAAGCGATTTGTTGGACATGCTGAACCCATTAAGGTAATCAAAGCATTAAATTCCGCATCTGTCAACACTGTTTGGTAGGTAGAGCTGGTTGCATATACATGGGGAAGAATTTCTGTTCTAAACTTTGATCTGGAACTGGAAGAACGCGTTAAAGTTAACTAAAGGCATTCCATCTCTGAATCTTTGGGCAAACATTTGCGTCGGAGTTCAGGCAACTTTTGGGTTAATGTGTCTGCAGAAAAAATCTCTTTATCAATACATTGTGTGTCATGAATAAGTTTCAATAGCCTTCTCTTATGTATTCATATTAGGCATTTATATTTGGCTTGGGTTAGCGGTGTCGGGGAAGGCGAGGAAATAAATGGGAGAGATCTCCAGCACGTTTTTTTTCTCGTTCCCCGACACAGCTTAATTACCCAAGCCAAATATAAATGCCTAACATAATTACATAAGAGATGCCTGCGGAGGAGGCTTAAGTTTCAAAATGAACCCATTTTTATCCTCAAATGTGAAACAGCAGTGCGTGTAGAGCGGTCCGAGTTCCTTTACCTCGATCGTCAGCTAAATGCAGTAACTGGTGAACATTCAGTGTGTAAAAACGTTCTGCATAAAGAAGCGAAAACGATTTGCAAAAATTGTTAATTAGTCTTTCGGCTTCATTCGTTGGTGTTCACGGCTACTGAATTAGCATCGTCTTGTGGTCAAGGCATGCATAGGGTCATCGCAGGGAAAAATGACGACACTGGCCGAAACGCGAAGACCACTAAATCCTGAAAAAGTGCGCGTCATAAAAGGTACATATTTGTCAAAATATCACATAAATAATATACAAAATTAATGGGAAAAGAAACATAGCGCGAGCACTCGTGAAGCTGAACACATGTTTTGTTGAAACATAATTGTTAATTATTATGTTTAAAAACTTACCGGTTACGTGCGTATATTTCTTTCTTCAGATTATGTGTTGTCTTTCTGTGTGGCAAAAAAACAAAACGGCGCTAAGAGTAACGCAAATGAATGAGGCTTTTTTTACCCAAAGGGTCAGCTATGTTCACCGCAAACGACAGAGGAATGAAGGAGTCAAAGGTCAATTATGTGATAAGCTGGCGTATTACGAAACAGTGCAAGAGTTATAGTAATACATCTAAACGCTGTAGTCTTTGTACTAACCAAAAATTCATGATAATCTACCACCCTGAACTTTGTTCCCTGATTTCAAGAAGCGAACTTTTATCAAAATGCAGACATAGAAATAAATTTCTCTTAATTAATGTAACCTAATACAATGCGTATATGTATATATGCAATTCGTTTTTCGTCAAACATGTAAATAGTGTATATATATAGCCATGGCAACTATATAGCGCGACATTTAAATTCACCTGATGAGTGTGGCAAGCACTGCTTGTTATACGAAACAAATTTGTAGAGAATAAAATCATATGAAGTAAACCAAGTTTATTGTATTTTATCGTCTTATTAGCTCTATACTTTGATATATCGAGCACTCTACTCATATATGATTCTAAACAGTGTGTATACAATATAATTTATATAATTTATGCTAATATATGTATGTATATTTGAACCCTCGTAACATGAAAATATAACCGAGAAGGGTTTCTCTACGGGTTGAATTTCTTTGTAACTCGCCCCAGTCTCCTCGCGAACTATGCATTAATTGCGAGCTTGAATCTCGATGATGAAAAATTTTGGATGTCAGGATTTTCATAAACAATAGATTTAACTGCAATCTTCTTTATACAGCAAATAGACAATTTTACTAAGTTTATCAGTATAGTAATAGTAAGCTCTTTTCTAATAGTATGCCCTTTTTATCGCCTAAATCAAAAGTTTGTCGATTATGCAAGTGGTCAATCATGTGTGTACAAACGGCTGTAATTTCCCAATAGCATCCATTCACGATATGGATTTGTATTATGAGAATTGCGGCTTTATTTAGTGTGTGATTGAGACTTTTTTTAGTATCTGACTTTTTCTTCTTGCAATGGCTTTCGGGCTGTCGTACATTGTTTAATCCGATCGCATAATCTCGTGCAGGAATGTCAAGAATGAGTATACGTGTCTTTACAATGGATCTATTTAATTATTTATTTGTTGTTGTAGCAACCTAATCTTCGCTGCGCCTTGGATTTCTTTGTAACTCGTCCCAGTCTAGTGGCGAACTATGTATTAATTGCGAGCTTAAAACTCGATGATGAAAAATTTTGGCTGCCAAGGATTTTTATTAACAATAGATTTAACTGCACCTTCTTCATACAGCAAACATAGAATATTATGTATACTATAGACACGTGCCAATTTAAAACATTTCAAACATTTAAAACAGTTCTGTCACAATACCCGGGTGTAATTCGTAATCTCGTACGGTGGCCCTGCGTTGCGCTTTGGGGAAAATAACAAGGCAGCCATCTTTGATTGCGAAATCCTAGCATTATGAACTTTTGCGGTAATTAATGTCCCGAATTTCCAGTTGTGTAGAACTTAACATCGAGAAAACCAAATCAAGGGCAATGCATTGGTTACTTTTTTCTGAACACCGCGGTTGGCTTTTCACGGTTTGATATTTCAGGACATGCATGAACAGAGAAATTTTGTTCTTTGTTGTCCAATGGATTCAGATATCAAGCACTGTGCTTTAGCTTTTTTCGAAACATTGCGATTTGTTTTGCCGTGAAACAACTAATGTCGACAGTGCATTGTTATATATGCATTATATGTAATGTTACAATCTATAGGTAATTTCGAGTGGAATATATACAACATTTCATTATTCGCACCAGGAACAGTTGATGGGAAAAGGTGTGAGCTATAGGTCCTCCGGCTTGAATCGAACCAACGCTTTTGCGATGCCGGTGCAATGCTCTTGCGACTGAGCTACCGAGGTAGCGAACTAGAGCATGCGTGGTTAATGTGGATTGTATATAATGCCGGGAATAGGTGAGGGTAAATCAGTTTTGATTTTTGGCACTTCACTCGATGTAGGTAAAATTTTTTTTACTGGCTTGAATTTGAAGTCTGCATGATTCCACTCGAAATTAAGACCCTTCAAACCTCTAGAATTTACCTACATCGAGTAAAGTACCAAAAATAAAAACCAATTTACCGCACCTATATTCCCGGCATTACTATCCTATATAGATTAACCAAACTTGCTCTTTTCAGCTACCTCTGTAGCTCAGTGGCAAGAGCATTGCACCTGCGTCGCAAAAGCGTAGGTCACCATCCCTGCCGGAGGACCACAGTTCCAGGCATGAATTTGAAGTGTGTATAATTCCACTCGAAATTAAGCCCTTTAAAAACCAGTTTAGATTTTTAGAATTTACCTACATCGAGTGAAGTGCCAAAAATCAAACCGATATATTAGTCCACTGTCTGGAGCAATCCTGATTAGTCCACTTTCAAATGTTTCAAGTGCATAATATTTCATTGTTGTATAATGTGTATTGTTAAACTAATTACTTGAATTAATTAACTATAGCGGTCGATATAAAGGTGTAAATATACATGGCACTTCGCGCCATCCACAGAAGAGTATGTTATATTTTAGAGATAGGTATTATTTGTTAACAGTCTTTTTGAACGAACTACCTAACACTATCATTATACCGAAATTTATGCTTTCTCTACGAGACTGGGGCGAGTTAAAAGGGAATCCAAGGCGCAGTGAAGATTAGGTTGCTACAACAACAAATGAATAATTAAATAAATCCATTGTAAAGCCACGTATACTCATTCTTGACATTCCTGCATGAGATTATGCGATCGGATTAAACAATGTACGACAAGTCGACAACCCCAAAGCCATTGCAAGAAGAAAAAGTCAGATACTAAAAAAAGTCTCAATCAGACACTAAATAAAGCCGCAATTCTCATAATACAAATCCATATCGTGAATGGATACTATTGGGAAATTACAGCCGTTTGTACACACATGATTGACCACTTGCATAACCATTTTGATTTAGGCGATAAGAAGAGCATACTATTGGAAAAGAGCTTACTATTACTATACTGATAAACTTAGTAAAATTGTCTGTTTGCTGCATGAAGAAGGATGCAGCTAAATCTATTGTTTATGAAAATCCTTACATCTAAAATTTTTCATCATCAAAATTAAAGCTCGCAATTAATTTATAGTGCGCGGCGAGACTGTGGCGAGTTACAAAGAAATCGGTTAAGCCGCAGAAAAGACTAGGTTGGTTAATTAACTTAATTTTCATGTTACGAGGGTTCAAATATACATACATATATTAGCATTATATAAATTATATTGTATACATACTATATACATACACAACCACCCACTGAAGAAGCTGAATAACTGAATAAGCTGAATAACTGAGTTATCTGCAAGTGAGCCTGCGGTGGTTAACAAGCGGTATTCATTTCCGATACAAACAAAGGAAAACAAACGTTTACAAACGTAGAAAAAAGATAAGGATAGATTATCAAATGATATAATTGTTAATTTTATTATGCCTTATGGTCATAATTTGAGTGTTTAACTCAACTTCCAGTAACTTGTTCATTGCACTTGAATGTATTTATGTATTAATAATTCACGTATTTTTGGATGTTGCTATTAAATAAGGTTTTTCATTCGTTAATACTATGTTTACTATTCTTCAAATGTATAATAAAACAATTATTGAATTCGGTTTTTGTGATTTGCAGAGTTATCAAGGTTGAGGTAAGTGTTATCTCTCATCCAACAATTGTTTCTTACACGAGCTCTGATGAAGTTGTGAACAATAGAACGAAAGTTCGAAAGTCATCAACTTCGCTGGACTATAGCCAGAACACGGACTTCGTTTCGCTAGCAGCACTCTAAATATCACTGCAGACTTCACATAGATGGCGGAAGAAGTGTCAGCATTATTAGTCCCTTTAAAGAATCCTGTCTGTTAACACGAATAATATATGAATATATTAGCCTATATATGGCAGTTTATATAGAAGTCCATGTTGCAAGATACTCACAGGTAATATTGTCCGTAGGATTATTGTGAACTTTGATTTAAGTGACCGTGCATGAAAAGTGCTATACTGTTCATATTCACCTCAACTTATTGGGGCGATCCCAGGCTTAAACGGGGTTGAATTCCAGGGTTGAATTCACGGGTTGAATTCAGGGGTTGAATTTTTTCTCCAACAAAGGTTTGAATCAACGACAAGCACTTTACCTGAAGTGGTTAGTTCGGTCTAGTATGCGAGTTTTAATTCACAGTGTAGGTTAGAATTACCCCGCCATTGCACGCCAACAGTTTCTCTATATATGCACACAAATGGCCCACACACATGCACTGGACGAGATTCGCCAACGCGACGCGAATTTTCAGTTTTTTAAGGCAAATATATTCAATTCTGACATGTTAAAGGCGTGGGCGCCAGACATGTAAAAAATATGCTATCAAGAATATAATAAGATATCAAACTTCGTTTCTTTTTGAAGTCAAAAATTCGTGAGAGTCGCGTTGCATAGTTGGACGCATGCGTCCGATGGGGGGATTCGCCTTCAGTGTGTGTCGGTAGACGGCAGTGAACGCGTAACTTAACTTATAGCTTTGCATAAATTCAATGATTCATCACAAATGTATTAATTGTGTTGACAGCAACGAATACTGCATGCAAAGAGAGAGCCAGAAAGGCAAAGAAGAATCGACAAATGAAAGAATGATTAAGTAATGAAACACAAAAACATTAGCTCTACGAGTTGACGTTTCCAAAATGTATAATTGTAGACTATCGTCTACAAAATCCACGTAGCTCGAACTAAATTAACATACATCACTTTTGTCACCATCAAGCATCATTCTAGTCTCCGGCTTTTGCCGATAGAACTGACATCTATAACATATATATCTAACTATGTCACTTTGGTCGCCAAACTCCTACCTTACGTGCAGGTGATGATAGCTTGCAAGGTGATTTCAGAAACGATAGCCTTCTTTGATTGTGAGCTGTGATTTAGATTAGACACTTGGGCAATATCCGGGTTCCGCCGGTATCCGGTTTCTTTTCAAAACTCGTACACTCACAAAAGAAATTCATCGTGCATAACAAATATATGAATATGCACACCCATGCATGCATGATCGCGTGAGATTCGGCTTTGTATGGACATGCAGTGTCGCATTAAAAAGATGCAATTCCGTATGTCTCTATAACCGAATTGATATATAGGAAAGGTTTTTATCTAAAAGTCTTAGGTGAAGATCTTTATCGTTTGTGTTTCATGCAACAAGGGTGTATGACCGCTGGTCGAACGTATATTGAAAAATTAATTCTACTTGAATGCCTGCATGGTGGGAACCACTCAACCACATGCAGTGCATGTCTGAGATAAGCATTTTTATGCACTATCACATGAAATATGTTTGTATCCACAAGTGATTTTTATTAACATTATTTACAATTTACTAAAATGGATAGCCGGTGCTTCTAATAGTTGAGGGTAGATGTATATGACAATCTGAAGCCTGTTTTATACTGACTTGGGCTTTTTTAGTATGTAAACACGCTCACAGGTCCGTTTCAGGTTTTGTTACAGGTTGATAATTTCTGCCTTGCGTGCCGAAATCCTTTCCTTTGCGGTTAAATGAAAGCTATCTTTTATTTCTATAAAGATATCTATAAAGTTCATTTATTATATTGTTGGCTTTTGCAAGATCTTCCCCAAGTCGATTATTTTCTGTCCGACATGTCTTAGATCGCTCTGAATATCCTTAACCTTTAAGGCCAGCTCGTTACAACAACATTGCGGTTTTGCAGTACAATCATGACATGGATTTTCCGGAGTCTGATTTTTCTTGTTGTTGTGTACCACATTCCGTATGCTAAGCTAATGGCCCACACGTGGAGCTTGATATTCAATAGCTTCACGGTCAATCTCCATAACGCTTAAAGCTTTGTCTTGAGTATATTGCTCATCACCTTAACTTTGGGCAGGACTCTTAATAGCTAACTCTTTCATTCTCTCGCTTAGGTTCTGTTTCTCATCTTCTTGGACAATTAGTAGCGTTTTACTTTTTCCGTACCACTTTATCGAGTAGCCATCACTTTTGAATAGTTTTACTTCGCCGCCAGGAAAAGTCCATTTGCCTTTAAGATCCAGGATGCTATATACACAAACTTTTTCAAGCCTTCTAGACTGTCTTTCCAGATAAATTATTTGCCTTGGCAAGTAAGATTGAGTTTCTTAGATGGTGTTGATGTTGATAGTATTTTTCATTGTGCAAAATCGGTGGAGTCACGACTACAAGTAATCATCAACAATAACGGAGCTCTCTATAGATTAAGTCCGGTCGCCATGTTGGCTTCGTGGTTTAAGACAAATCCATAAGCAGATAGCATTCATTTAGCTGCACACGGAAAGATTTCGGCACACGAGGCAGAAATTAGATATGACCAGATATATAAACATCTCCAGAGTTTTCGCCAGATTGGTTATGCAAGGAAAACTATCAGCGGCGATCAAATTTCTGGATAAAGAAAGCTCATCAGGTTTACTTGATCTTTCACCAGAAATTTTGGAAGGTTTGAAAGAGAAACACCCGCAAGCCAGTGTTTGAGAAGACGAATGTCTCTTAAATGGGCCTGTAGATCAAATCCAGCCGAATATTTTCGACCTCATCTATGAAAAGATGATTTATGACGCAGCCTTGAAAACGTCGCAAGGGTCAGCTGGACGTTGGGAATGGATGCAGACATATATCGGCGAATATTTTGTGTTCACATACGTCTTGCAGGCTCATTTCTCTTGATAAAAACCCTAGAATCCGACCAATTGAAGAGAGGGGGGGGGGAGTGCTGCGAAAAATAATTAGTGAGACCATAACTTCATTCTTGAGGGAGGAGATAAAGGAAGCTGCTGGGACTTTACAAGTTTGTGCAGGATACAGCACTGGGACCGAGGCAGCAAAACATGCCATGAGTCATGTTCTTGAGGAAGAGAGGACTGATGGAATCCTCTTAATTGACGTGAGCAATGCTTTCAACCAAATGAATAGAGCAATAGCTATGCACAATCTCCAAATAACTGCAACATATACATGGTGTAATCGTCAATGACATCTTAAAGACATGATGTTTTAAACACAAAATGTTGGGGATTTCGATCCATTTCCCCATTTAACTAGGCCGCTCAAAGAACATATTTCAATTAATCAGTCACAGATTAATTATAGCTTGGAGTAATAACATGCAGGAACGATACTTATAAAAAAACAATTCGGAGCTTCGTTATATTATTTTTATGTAATATCTTGCAAATTTATTGAATAAAAACTTTAAAGAATAGAACAATTATCAATTGAAATTTGAAATTCAAATGCAAATTTTTATAGCAAAACGTAATTCCACATATGATATTGTAATAATGTCATATCCAGTTCAAACTAGATTGAAGTTCCATTAGGAACACGTTCAGGAAGAAGATAGATGTAAGGAAGTTCCAATTTTTCATTTCGTTCTTTTATTTTCTTAGAAATGTCTTCAAGTTTGTCTTGGAAACGGTCGATAGCATCAAGAGCTTCCTGGTCTTCCCATGCTGTGGCACTGTAATTTCCCAAATAACGCTGAAAACAGAGGACAGCTGACTAAAGGCCCTGTTACGCGGTGCAATTTTTCTTACAACATGCAATGCAATTCTACTCTTTAAATATAAGTGCAAGAAGCGCCATGGAGCGTAATAAAGAAAAAAGTTTGGTAGTTGCCAAATTTACATCTCTCAAAGGAAGAATAGCATTGCGAGTTGCAAGAAAAATTGCACCGTGTAGCAGAGCCTTAAGTTTGACTTACTGCACAGTAATTTTGATAGGGTACAGTACTGCTCAGAAATAACCTAATCAAAAACGCGTTCCGAACGCGTTCCCGAACGCGTTCCGGACGCGTTCGAGGACGCGTTCCGAACGCGTTCCAGAACGCGTTCCAAACGCGTTCCAGAACGCGTTTCAATCGCGTTCCAGAACGCGTTCCGAACGCGTCCTCGAACGCGTCCGGAACGCGTTCCAGCACGCATTCGATATTCATCGGCTATCGACTCCGGATCTTGTCGTCAATACCCGGATATTCCCGATTTAGTTTAATCACACTGTGGTTTAATCTATGCTTTATAAATGGCGAAGCTCTCAGTGTACGCTAGAAAAAGGGTTATTTATTTAAAATCCACTGGAAATACACACAAAAAAATACAAGAAATTCTTCTTGAGGTAGGAATTAAAACCTCAACGTCGGCTATTTCTCTGTTTCTCTCGCGATATCGAAAGACGGGTAGCCTCGTGGACGGTGCTCGGAGTGGTCGAAAGCCGAAACTAAGCGAGGAGCATGGCAATTTTATAGATGAAAAATGAAAGAAAATGACGAGTTAACATCCCGTGAGTTAAAAGAAAAGATTTCCGTAGATTGTGGAATTGATGTATCGACCGCAACAATTAGACGAGCAAGGCGGAAGCTGGGTTGGAAAAAAGAAAACGCCAGATATTGCCAGTTTGTCCGAGAGCCAAACAAAATGAAACGGTTGGCTTTTTGTTTGAAGGCCTTGAGTGAGCTGGATAAGTTTGAGAACGTGATATTTACTGACGAAACTAGTGTTCAAATAGAACAACACGCAAGGATTTGCTTTCGGAAGGATGGAAGCCAACCAAAGCGCAAAGGTCGACCAAAGCATCCACTGAAGGTTCGTATATTTATTTATTATTTTACTTTATATTTTACGGATTAGAGCAGCATTTTTTTCTTAAAGGTTTATAAATTGCAAGAGTCTATTATAATTTTTTTTTGCTGTTACTAATATGACCTCTTCTTGGTTTTTAAAAGGTTCATGTTTGGGGTGGAATTTCCTGCACTGGAGCTACTCAAGTATGTATATTTAGTGGGTGTATGGAAAGCATAGGCTATCAAACAATCCTGGAGAGAAATTTGTTGCCATTCATCAGAAAAAACTATCCTGAAGGTGGCCATCGTATGTGGCAGGACAATGACCCCAAACACTGCAGCAATTCAACGAAACAGTTCATGAAGGATAATGGCATAAATCATTGGGTCACACCTCCAGAATCCCCGGTTAGTTGCAGTTAGTTCTGTTATGAAATTATTACTATAGTGTGACATTTTATGTAATACAATGATAACAGATCATGATGAACCATAATGTGACATTTAGATAATAATGAGAATAATACACCATGATGATCCAAGATGGTAAATTTCATGTGCATGGTTGTGGTAGCTGGTAATGAAATGTCTTATTTTAGCACCACCACAATTACTGGTTTATGTCAGTTACAGAAATAACAAGAATTTTATAATAATTGAATAAAACCAAGTAGCAAAGTATGGACACCAATATTGCTGTATTATTTACATGTCACATTTGCCATTAACATAATTATCTCACATTCAACTAATTTTCTGTTGTTAAACTAAACCAATTAAACCTGCGTGTTACTTTTTGATCATATCAGAGTGATTAGACCTCGCAAGATATCATTCAAAACCGGCAAGCATGACTAATTACACATTGTCATTGTCACAGATGTGAAGAATTGTTGTTCGTGTAAACGAACACTAAGCAACAAGCAAATTTCTTTGCCAGTCACTAAAAATTCATTCACAAAATACAAAAATGGACTTTGATACAGTTTGAATGCTGCTGTGTTGTCGCCGACAAGGAATGAAGTGCAGGTATGAACAAACATGCAATTGTTAACTGAAATAGCTTAGCTGAGAGCACGGGTCGATCATTATAATTCAGATCTTCGTTTCACAATATCGAAACCTCAATTGTTTTACATGTACGGCACAGTATGATATGAATAAAATTCGAAATACGGTAATTACCGTGACTACTGTATACACTGTTTAAATGTATACTAACTGAAAACTAAAAACAATGGTTTATTAACTACCGAAAGTTTCTTTGAACAAAGACGGCGATAAGAGTCATCTAGCTAATTTTAACAGCGTTTTCCCTGTCAAATACTGGCTTTGG